ATAGGACAATAAATAAATAAACTATATTTATAATGTATTTTAAAATGTAAACTCCCCTTTTCAGAACCCTGTCTTTCAAAGATCATTCGTAAAAATCCAAATAACTTCACAGATCTTCATTGTAAAGGGTTTAATCACTGTTTCCCATGCTTGTTCAATGAACCATAAACAATTAATGAACATGCACCTGTGGAACGGTCGTTAAGACACTAACAGCTTACAGATGGTAGGCAATTAAGGTCACAGTTATGAAAACTTAGGACACTAAAGAGGCCTTTCTACTGATTCTGAAAAACACCAAAAGAAAGATGACCAGGGTCCCTGCTCATCTGCGTGAACGTGCCTTAGGCATGCTGCAAGGAGGCATGAGGACTGCAGATGTGGCCAGGGCAATAAATTGCAATGTCCGTACTGTGAGACGCATAAGACAGCGCTACAGGGATACAGGACGGACAGCTGATCGTCCTCGCAGTGGCAGACCACTTGTAACAACACCTGCACGGTATATCCGAACATCACACCTGCTGGACAGGTACAGGATGGCAACAACAACTGCCCGAGTTACACCAGGAACGCACAATCCCTCCATCAGTGCTCAGACTGTCCGCAATAGGCTGAGAGAGGCTGGACTGAGGGTTTGTAGGCCTGTTGTAAGGCAGGTCCTCACCAGACATCACTGGCAACAACGTCGCCTATGGGCACAAACCCACCGTCGCTGGACCAGACAGGACTGGCAAAAAGTGCTCTTCACTGACGAGTCGTGTTTTTTGTCTCACCAGGGGTGATGGTCGGATTCGCGTTTATTTACATTTTAGTCATTTTAGCAGACGCTCTTATCCAGAGCGACTTACAGTTAGTGAGTGCATACATTATTTTTTTATACTGGCCCCCCGTGGGAATCAAACCCACAACCCTGGCGTTGCAAACGCCATGCTCTACCAACTGAGATACACCCCTGCCGGCCATTCCCTCCCCTACCCTGGAGGACGCTGGGCCAATTGTGCGCCGCCCCATGGATCTCCCGGTCGCGGCCGGTTACGACAGAGCCTGGATTCGAACCAGGATCTCTAGTGGCACAGCTAGCACTGCGCTGCAGTGCCTTAGACCACTGTGCCACTCGGGTACTAGTGGTTATCGTCGAAGGAATGAGCGTTACACTGAGGCCTGTACTCTGGAGCGGGATCGATTTGGAGGTGGAGGGTCCGTCATGATCTGGGGCGGTGTGTCACAGCATCATCGGACTAAGCTTGTTGTCATTGCAGGCAATCTCAACGCTGTGCGTTACAGAGAAGACATCCTCCTCCCTCATGTGGTACCCTTCCTGCAGGCTCATTCTGACATGACCCTCCAGCATGACAATGACACCAGCCATACTGCTCGTTCTGTGCGTGATTTCCTGCAAGACAGGAATTTCAGTGTTCTGCCATGGCCAGCGAAGAGCCCGGATCTCAATCCCATTGAGCACGTCTGGGACCTGTTGGATCGGAGGGTGAGGGCTAGGGCCATTCCCCCCAGAAATGTCTGGGAACTTGCAGGTGCCTTGGTGGAAGAGTGGGGTAACATCTCACAGCAAGAACTGGCAAATCTGGTGCAGTCCATGAGGAGGAGATGCATACAGCTGGTGGCCACACCAGATACTGACTTTTACTTTTGATTTTGACCCACACTTTGTTCAGGGACACATTATTCCATGTCTGTGGAACTTGTTCAGTTTAGGTCTCAGTTGTTGAATCTTATGTTCATACAAATATTTACATGTTAAGTTTGCTGAAAATAAACGCAGTTGATGTTTCTTTTTTTTTTGCTGAGTTTATATCCCATATTTGGACAAAATTGAAAGCTCTCTCTCACAACCCCTGCTCACAAACACACATGGGCTCTGGGATTTGCAATGATTATCCTTTTTCACTCACTTAACGCCACACTTTTTCAAACACAAAAACACACCCCACTTTCCATCACAATACATCCGCACACATACTGTGACTTTCATGTTCCAGTTCCTCATATTTGAAGATTAATTATTTCGCTAATTAATTATTTTCCAACATTCCCTATCTAGAATGGTATACTGTAGTTGTAGTTTATTTATTTTCTATATCTTTTTTATTACAATCCCTGTACCCAATCTTCAAGGAGAATAGATTAAAAGGGAAACATGTAGCTGTCGTAGTCAATAAAATGTACGTTGATAACCAAATGTTCTGAGACACAAAGACTACTCCATGGCTATTCTAAATATTACAAAGTTCCCATAGAGGAGTCGAATAATGGAACACCCAATACTATCCATGGTAGGGATTGTAATACAAATATATAGAAAAGCAATAAAATACAATAAAATACAACAATTGTTAAAGAAATAAACTACAACTACACTATACCATTCTAGATAGGGAATGTTGGAAAATAATTAGTATTACTTTCCATTTATAGTATTTCATAAATTGATATCTTTAAAGAAAGCAAATTTGGCAACGATTGGGCACTCATACCTCTGTCCTCTCTGTCCGAAACACAAGCTGTGTCAATCATAAACTAAAAGCTATTATTGAGGTCATTTCCTTAATATGTGACGTCAGAGTTCAGCATGTGGGATAAGTTGGAGCTCAGGGATGATAGACAAGTTTCCCACTAGTAATTACCAGTTGGAGGGCCGTTCAACTGGAATTTTTCCAGTCGTATGTGGTAAATACCACCTTCCCACTTGGTTATGAACGTAGCATTATGTTGGCGAAAGCTCAATGTTATGCCGATGCTCAGCAATATCGCAGTGTGATTGACCAGAAGCTCTACATACAGTAGCTTCCAGCCCCTACTGGATTGGCGGTTGATACCTAGCCCTACCTAGCATGATGTTGGCTTGCTAGCACCCACATAGGGACGCCATGTAAATGTTACATTTTGTATATAATTATTTCCAATATAATTATCGATAGTTAACATTTCTTGTGTAAAAACTAAATAAATAAACACAATGTGACCAGGAAGCACCAGGCGACCTGCGTTGATCTTGCCTTACAAATTTGACCAATCACTGCACTATTTCCACATAAAGTCAAGTCATTGCAAAATTGTCGCACAACATTGACCTATCACGGCACTATAAAAAGAAGGCTTGCAACCAATCATCGCACATTTACTGCATATGGTTCAATTAAGCCACATGTCAACAAGCTGATATTGAGTACGAGGGAGGGAGGGGGCGCAGTTATGTTATGGGGAAGGGAGGGGGTAATGGCCGATATCCATAGAGCATGTTGGGGCGATGAAACAACGGAGCCCCATTCATTTTCAACGGAGGGAAACGAAGTGGGCGGGGGGACTGTTGGGCGATGCAAGCATTGGCGAGGAAGCGTGAACAGGGCGGGACCAAATTTAGGGAAAGCTGAACTTTATGCAAATATTCTGCAATATCAAAGCTCACTATAGCTTCCAGACCCTACTGGATTGGCTGTCGATACCTAGCGGTACATAGCGTGCTTGATAGCTTGCTAGCACCCACACGAGGGCGACGCTAGAGTGGCTCTCCAAATGTCATGTTATAGTGGATCCTTAGTGTTAGAGTCCTTAAGCTGTCATTTTTTTAAACGAATTTCTATGTTTGATGTCATGTCTCTCACCCTATAGCAGTGCATTTTCTTGTACATTAAGCAAATATCTGTGAACATCAGACAATAAATAAATATCTAATCTATAGTCTAACCCACGTGTCAAACTCATTCCACGGAGGGCTGAGTGTCTGCGGGTTTTCGCTCCACCCTTGTACTTGATTGATGAATTAAGGTCACTAATAAGTAAGGAACTCCCCTCACTTGGTTGTCTAGGTCTTAATTGAAAGGAAAAAAACAAAAACCCGCAGACACTCGGCCCTCTGTGGAATGAGTTTGACACCCCTAACCCCACAAGGGAATCCTTTCATCAAGTCATTAGGATTTCTGAGGCAAAATGCATATCTTTAAAAACATTGTGAAATGGACCATTATGACCTTAACTGCACTAGGTTGAACAGTGAAAATATCCATAGCCTAATAAAATATATTTTAGACTTCTAGTCTGTCTATGTGCTCTTAGCCAACTCCTTTGTCGTTGCTTAGTCAGATGAACTAATCCTGAATTATTGGAGCACACATAGCGCCGGTATCCCAGACACAGATTAGGCCTAGTCCTGGACTAAAAAGCATGATTAATGAAGAATCCAGGAAACCGGAAACCAGGGTGGTATTGTCAGTTTGATAGTCAGTTCTGGAGAACCCCTTGTGAATGCAGGTTTTTTATTCCAACCTTATAATCAATCTACTTTACATTTGAAAGAATTGCAAAAACATTGACATTGCAAGATTCATCAGTGTCACAATGTCATAGCACAAAAACAAATCAATCAGTTTTTTATAAACTTTATTAATTAAGCATGGGTTTCTTCTGTTTCAGAATGGAATGATATGAAAGACATTAAGTTGAAAGTCTGTCTCCTTTGGAGATTAAAAACTGAAGGCAAGATCAATAAAAGCGTACACGTTTGTTTTAAAAACTCAAAATCGAGTTGGAAAGTGCTGAGTCCCAGCCTGGCCCTGTCGCAGAGGCCTGGGACGGAAGGCCTGGCTCAGACCGCTTCAGTCTGGGTTTAAATTGGATCTAGACAAGACCAGGTCTGCCCATCTCGCCACCCATCAATTTGGCCTCGTCATCATCAATGGCAACAGACAAGTGAAGGAGGGCGTTGCTAAAAAAATAAAAAAATAAAAACCCTCTACAGCAGAAATGAAGCTCCTAGAGCAGAACCGCCAGTCTGTACTTTTCTCAGAGAATCTTGAACCCAACACCCCTCCCAACCCAAAGACAGGCCAGCCCATGTGGAGTTCCTATCCCCCTGGGAGGCTCAATAGTGGTGGTGGCTCAGAAGTAGAGGGGGTAGATAGGATGGGAGCGGGCAGCACTGGTTTGGACAGACCCCAATGTTGAAAATCTGAGCTGTGTGGAGTGTGCCCATGGGCGATGTGCTATAGCTTGACAGTGCCAGTGGGAAGGCTGCTGTTACACAATCTGTAATAACGCAGGTCGTTTACCAGTCTGTGCACACTCTGAGTGAAGGAGGGCAAGTCCTAGAGAGAGAGAGAGAAGGAGAGAGAGAGAGAGAGAGAGAAGGAGAGAGGAGAGAGAAGGAGAGAGGAGAGAGAGAGAGAGAGGGGAGAGAGGAGAGAGGAAAGAGAGAGAGAGGAGAGAGAGAGAGAGGGAGAGAGGAAAGAGAGAGAGGAGAGAGAGAGGGAGAGAGAGAGAGAGAGACACTGGTTACAAAGAAATCAAAACAGAAATTAAAAAATTATATCCTGTCATTCTGTAAGCATCCAGTTCAAACGGGAAAATCTGAGATACAACGATGCTACCACAGTTTTCCACTCGTATTTCTTAGTCCAGAGTTTCTGATAATTCCAAGAGCACATAACCATATCACATTGGGCTAATACTCCACCACCACCTCTTTTACCACCAACACCACCTCTTTTACTACGAAACACAGTATACCCTACCTTAACCCAGACTCCCACTGCCGCGGCCATAACCCACTCTATAAACCCATTCCCATTAGGTCTCACCCGCTCCAGTTTAAAGTTGCGGCCGAGCACCGCCCGCTGGTTGGCATCCACGCCCTGGCAGCCGTTGAGGAACTCGGGCATGAAGGCGGAGTAGAAGGCATCAAAGTCCACGGAGGCCATGTTGTACACTGCCAGGCCCATCTCCTCTTGGAGCAGGTCGTGACTTTTGTGGAGGAGCACCTGTAGGAGCACGTTGATGAAGTGAAATAGCATGGAGGTCCGGAACAGCTTCTGGAATAGACACAGACAGAAAGAACAGTGTGGCCAAACACCAATGTTAGAATCATTCCGTTTAATTCCATTCATCTTTATTGTCCCCAAATTAATGATTCAATTCCACGCATCTTTATTGTGCACAATGGCCATCACTGAGCCATCACTGAATGTAACTCTTTATCAACTCACACTTCTCAGGCAAAAAGTTAATTCACCTTCAAGAAAATAATAAAATAACCTCTAAATCACAGGTCCTCAACTGGCAGCTTCATTAAATAGTACCTGCAAAACACCAGTCTCAACGTCAACAGTGAAGAGGCGACTCCGGGATGCTGAGTTGCAAGAAAAAGCCATATCTCAGACAGCCCATCTTAATATTTTCTTTTTATTGGCCAGTCTGAGATATGGCTTTTTCTTAGCCTTTTAAAATGATAAACTTGGATTAGCAAACACAATTTGCCATTGGAACACAGGACTGATGGTTGCTGATAACGGGCCTCTGCACGCCTATGTAGATATTCCATAACAAATCAGCTGTTTCCAGCTACAATAGCCATTTACAACATTAACAATGTCTACACTGTATTTCTGATTAATTTGATGTTATTTTAATGGACAAAAAAATTGATTTTCTTTCGAAAACAAGGACATTTCTAAGTGACCCCAAACATTTGAACGGTAGTATATATATATATATACAGTGGGGAGAACAAGTATTTGATACACTGCTGATTTTGCAGGTTTTCCTACTTACGAAGCATGTAGAGGTCTGTAATTTTTATCATAGGTACACTTCAACTGTGAGAGACGGAATCCAGAAAATCACATTGTATGATTTTTAAGTAATTAATTTGCATTTTATTGCATGACATAAGTATTTGATACATCAGAAAAGCAGAACTTAATATTTGGTACAGAAACATTTGTTTGCAATTACAGAGATCATACGTTTCCTGTAGGTCTTGAACAGGTTTGCACACACTGCAGCAGGGATTTTGGCCCACTCCTCCATACAGACCTTCTCCAGATCCTTCAGGTTTCGGGGCTGTCGCTGGGCAATACGGACTTTCAGCTCCCTCCAAAGATTTTCTATTGGGTTCAGGTCTGGAGACTGGCTAGGCCACTCCAGGACCTTGAGATGCTTCTTACGGAGCCACTCCTTAGTTGCCCTGGCTGTGTGTTTCGGGTCGTTGTCATGCTGGAAGACCCAGCCATGACCCATCTTCAATGCTCTTACTGAGGGAAGGAGGTTGTTGGCCAAGATCTTGCGATACATGGCCCCATCCATCCTCCCCTCAATTCGGTGCAGTCGTCCTGTCCCCTTTGCAGAAAAGCATCCCCAAAGAATGATGTTTCCACCTCCATGCTTCACGGTTGGGATGGTGTTTTGGGGTTTGTACTCATCCTTCTTCTTCCTCCAAACACGGCGAGTGGAGTTTAGACCAAAAAGCTCTATTTTTGTCTCATCAGACCACATGACCTTCTCCCATTCCTCCTCTGGATCATCCACATGGTCATTGGCAAACTTCAGACGGGCCTGGACATGCGCTGGCTTGAGCAGGGGGACCTTGCGTGCGCTGCAGGATTTTAATCCATGACGGCGTAGTGTGTTACTAATGGTTTTCTTTGAGACTGTGGTCCCAGCTCTCTTCAGGTCATTGACCAGGTCCTGCCATGTAGTTCTGGGCTGATCCCTCACCTTCCTCATGATCATTGATGCCCCACGAGGTGAGATCTTGCATGGAGCCCCAGACCGAGGGTGATTGACCGTCATCTTGAACTTCTTCAATTTTCTAATAATTGCGCCAACAGTTGTTGCCTTCTCACCAAGCTGTTGCCTATTGTCCTGTAGCCCATCCCAGCCTTGTGCAGGTCTACAATTTTATCCCTGATGTCCTTACACAGCTCTCTGGTCTTGGCCATTGTGGAGAGGTTGGAGTCTGTTTGATTGAGTGTGTGGACAGGTGTCTTTTATACAGGTAACGAGTTCAAACAGGTGCAGTTAATACAGGTAATGAGTGGAGAACAGGAGGGCTTCTTAAAGAAAAACTAACATGTCTGTGAGAGCCGGAATTCTTACTGGTTGGTAGGTGATCAAATACTTATGTCATGCAATAAAATGCAAATTAATTACTTAAAAATCATACAATGTGATTTTCTGGATTTTTGTTTTAGATTCCGTCTCTCACAGTTGAAGTGTACCTATGATAAAAATTACAGACCTCTACATGCTTTGTAAGTAGGAAAACCTGCAAAATTAGCAGTGTATCAAATACTTGTTCTCCCCACTGTATATAAAACAAAAGGTAAGGTAAAAGAGTAGTCTAGGAGATAATTAAAAAACTGGATATACTTGGCTATTTGTTGACCACAAATCAGTCACAATATTTTACAGACAATAATAATTCATTAAATGCACTTATAATCATGCTATGTTTGAAACTTATGTAGGAAGGAGAGCTGTCTGCAAACTGCAACCAGTCTATCAACAGAAAAAAATATAAAATACATGCATTTATGAATTCAAGACTGGGCGGCAGGTAGCCTAGCAGTTAGAGCGTTGGGCCAGTAACCGAAAGGTTGCTAGTTCAAATCCCTGAGCCGACTAGGTGAAAAATCTGTCGATCTGCACAACCCTAATTGGGTTGGGGATCGTCGTCAATAATGGCTGATCCCTGGCCGTGACACCGCTCTCCGAGGGTGTCTCAGGGGAGTGGGAAATGCAAAAAACACATTTCCATTTATCAACACACACTTTTACAGGTTACACACTTGTACATGTGTAAAACACGACAAATATAAGCATCCCCTTAATTTACCTTTTTGAGATGCAAAAGTGAAGTGATGGACAAATATATTGAACTTCATAGTTCTCTCAGTATTTAGTGATGCTATCATGCGCTATATTGACTGTGTCCTAATTAGTATGATAATAATAGCATAAACCATCATGACATGTAATGTCAAGTTCATATTTATATTGTATTTATATTTATGACAATCATAGAAATACACTACATGACCAAAAGTATGTGGACACCTGCTCGTCGAACATCTCATTCCAAAATCATGGGCATTAATATGGAGTTGGTCCCCCCTTTGCTGCTATAACAGCCTCCACTCTTCTGGGAAGGCTTTCCACTAGATGGTGGAACATCGCTGCGGGGACTTGCTTCCATTCAGCCACAAGAGCATTAGTGAGGTCGGGCACTGATGTTGGGCAATTAGGCCTGGCTCGCAGTCGGCGTTCCAATTCATCCAAAGGTTTTCAATGGGGTTGAGGTCAGGGCTCTGTGCAGGCCAGTTAAGTTCTTCCACACCAATCTCGACAAACTATTTCTGTATGGACCCCGCATTGTGAATTGTCATTGTCCTGCTGAACAGGAAAGGGCCTTCCCCAAACTGTTGCCACAAAGTTGGAAGCACAGAATCGTCTAGAATGTCATTGTATGCTGTAGCGTTAAGATTTCCCTTCACTGGAACTAAGGGGCCTAGCCCAAACCATGAAAAACAGCCCCAGACCATTATTCCTCCTCCACCAAACTTTACAGTTGGCACTATGCATTGGGGCAGGTAGCGTTCTCCTGGCATCCGCCAAACCCAGATTTGTCCGTCTGACTGCCAGATGGTGAAGCGTGATTCATCACTCCAGAGAACGCGTTTCCACTGCTCCAGAGTCCAATGGAGGTGAGCTTTACACCACTCCAACCGACACTTGGCTTTGCATGGTGATCTTAGGCTTGGGTACGGCTGCTCGGCCATGGAAACCCATGTCATGAAGCTCCCGACCAACAGTTCTTGTGCTGACGTTGCTTCCAGAGGCAGTTTCAGCACTCAGTGGTCCTGTTCTGTGCACTTCAGCACTCGGTGGTCCCGTTCTGTGAGCTTATGTGGCCTACCACTTCGCGGTTGAGCCGTTGTTGCTCCTAGGCGTTTCCACTTCACAATAACAGCACTTACAGTTGACCGGGGCAGCTCTAGCAGGGCAGAAATGTGACTGACTTGTTGGAAAGGTGACATTCTATGACAGTGTCACATTGAAAGTCACTGAGCTCTTCAGTATGGCCATTCTACTGCCAATGTTTGACTATTGAGATTGCATGGCTGTGTGCTCGATTTTACACCTGTCAGTAACGAGTGTGGCTGAAATAGCCGAATCCACTAATTTGAAGGGATGTCCACATAGTTTTGTGTATATAGTTTAGAATTAGATATAAATATTTTCATGATGACAAACATTTGAGGTGAGGTTATTAAGACGGACCATTCAAATAAAGTGTCACAAAGAAGAGACAAAGGGTCATTTTGGAGCAACAATAAATTGCACTTTTGGAGCAAATGGTATGGCAGATAAAAGCTGAACTCACTCTGTGGTAGAGCTTGTGCTTGCTGTTGAGGGACTCCAGGTAAGAGAGGTTCTGCTTGAAGATGTGGATGTCCGGCTGCAGGAAAGACTGCCCAAAAGCCTGGAGAAACAGATTTGAGCCCATGTCAGGGAATTCTACAGCCCTGTCCAAAAACAACCCATAACCCATTCCCCCTAGACACTGAAATAACTGGATAGTTATAATCCAGGGTTGGTTGGGGTCAATTCGAATTGAAAACATTTGAAATAAATAGCTTCTACTTTTCAGGTTATTGAGAAGTCATTGAATTTGAGTTTACTTCCTGAATTGACTGACTTCAATTCAAATTGACCACAACCCTGTATAAGCAATATAGTATTAGAGTATTTATTTATATTTTGACCGTTTTTTTTTTTCAACAGAACATTGTACAAATGGCAGTAACATGCTGGATTGTGACTACAACTTACATTTGAATATTGACTTGGATAGCGCTACAACGTAAAGGCTAGGAGGTGGAATTTTCTGCACATTGCTTAATGATTAGAAGGGTGCTATAAGCCAATTATATAGTGTACGAGGTAAATATAGAAAGGCTATTATTAACTTGCCGTTGCAGTTTCGTTTAGACATTTTTGGAAATGTATTGACAAATTCACTAAAAGCTCAGTTTCCATTGGCACTTTGAAGTCAACCCGGGTTGGGCTGGCCTTGGTGGGCTAGCTCGAATTGCATTTCCACTGCCTCAAGAAATTAGAAATGATGTCATGTTGCTAGGTAGCCAATATCTGACTGTACAGCTGGCTTCACTAATGAAGAATTTAATTCGCCCTCACGATGCTGTAACTAACGTTACCCCATACTCATGCCAGTGCCAGCCAGACTCAGAACCATGTATTTAGCTTGCTAATGTTAGCTAGCTAAACAGTTAGCATCATCGCTAGCATAACAGGCAAGCTAGCTAGCTTAATTCCTACCTTGCTTGCCATGGCAATGGCTATTAGCTAGCTAACTAACCAAACAAACCAGACAACAGGTTTGATATGACGTTCAATACAACCTGGCCAACAAAAAATCCTGCTAGCTAGCTTGTTTCAACTCTGATTTGCTTGCTAATGTTAGGTAGCTAGCATTCGAGGGCTGACTGTTCTCATAAAACTTTATTGTGTAGTGCAAAAATGAATGAAGGATCCAGCTATGGTGGTAATTTGTGTCATGTCTGACTACTGCAGTACTTGTCCATGTGCTAGCTAACATCAACAAGCCCAGACGAGCTAGCTAAACATGGTATCCAGCACCCCCCACCCCCCCCCACACACACACACACACACCTGCATGGCAGCACTAAACTGGGCCTCGTTCTCCATGGCCTCCTCAGGCGATCCCCTCTGCACACTGGCTAGGACAGAGGTCTTGAAGAAGTACCTCCAGTTATGGTGAAGCACCTGGTATAGCAGCTCAAACATCTCTGCCTTAACGTCTGGAGAGGAACGCTGTGGGACAGACAAAGAAATCACAGTAGACCTTTATTATCCATTGTTGGTCAGAAATTCATTTTTTGCTGACCCAGTGCCCAACCCCATCGATCGATATACCACACATACACACAGTGTATGTATTATAATTTTTTATTCAGTGTGTACAAACATGTCGTATGAATGAGAGTGCACTCTCACCTCAGCCACAATAGGGTAGACCTGCTCCATGCAGAGAGAGAGTACGCTGGGTAGGAAGGGTTTGAAGGCCTGGCCGGGCTCCTGAACCACCACCTGGAGAATCTTTAGGAACTTCTCCACCACTCGGCAGCCTGCGCTGCCTTCCTGCAAGATACTGGCTGCCAGCTGCTCCCTGAGGAGCACACACAAGAACGTAACAAACAATTTATAGCTTCTAAATGTTTAAAACTATCACGGGGATGTTGAGGACGGCCAGTCTTTCCGTCTACAGCGCAGTCTATTAATTTGAGAGGGGTTACATTTCCCTAGCCTCATCCCTCAGCTGTATATCAAAACATGTGGCGGGGCAGCTGTTTTGTTGTTTTCCGAATCCCAGATTGTAGCTTTAAAATGGTCACTATATTTGTGTCTAAGCGTGTGTGTGTGTGTGTGTGTGTGTGTGTGTCCTACCTGGTGAACATGCTGAGGAAGGTGTGTATAATTTGTCCGGTGAAGGGCACGCCCATCTGAACACGCAGGCCTTGAAACAGTGTGAGGAAGAAGCTCAGCATCTCATCCGTCACATCTTGAGGAGAGAGGGAGTGACAGCGGGAAAGACAGAGAATGTCAGAAAGAATAACTCAGCTTTGGCATTATATCAAATCAATGATCAGAATGTTTTGAGTGAAAATTACATTTTAAGTGATAGAGAAAATGAAATCTGCAAACGGTCCTTTTTAAGGTGACTACAAGCTTCACTCCGTTGATCTACTGTGCGTGCATGTGGGTGGAGTGGGATTTGTGGAGTAGCGGACACCTTTTGGTAACATGACATCCTCGCCGTCCCACTCCCATTCACAAGGGGGCGATATAAACATTTATTTTTATTTTGTCTTTTCATTTTGTGTAAGCAATAAAGAGTCGCCTTCCCTTACTAGTAGTAGCTAGCTGGCAGCCCGGCTAGCTGGTTTAGCCTGGATAAAAACATAGCATGCTAGCTAGCTTTTTTAGCTTCCCACATCTCCATGCGCAATAATCAGATTCATAATGAAAAAATATGCCCTGGCAAATATTCTTATACTTGCCGGTGTAACCTAAAACATTATCCGACTTTGATATGCCGCTTGCGTATTAATTTCCATATCAGCTAAACATAGAACATCATCATGTTTTGGTCACAAAGTAAAAAAGCACATGGCTAGCTAGTTGGCTACAGCAGGTTCTACCATTTCACAATATCCAACCTTTTGGTTAACTGTTTGAACAGCTGTTGAGATTAGATTATTTGGTTATCAATGCAAAATAGGCTATTTTGATGAATAGCCTATATATCAGATGAAGGAAACAAGTGACAACACTGCCCCCATGGCAGCAGAAGGAATGATACAGCGTCTCAATTTTCAGGTAGTAAAAAAGTATGTTGAACGCCAGAGCGTATTACAAGGAGCCGTCCCTTTAGTGACGACAACTGACATTGCAACACTCCAAATCTTGCATATGCATAAAGCTTGTAGTAAGCTTTAAATATCATTCATAAAAGGTGAATGTCATTGAAAATGGCACAGGCAACATTTCCTGTGAAATGTTACATTGTTAGAATGGCTGAAAGGACAGTCACACTGTGTGTACTTGCAAATAAACATTTTGTTAAGTGCAACGGTTTTGTCACATACAGTGACCTTGCTCAGGCATATCATACGTATAACGTTACATGGTAAAATTACTTGAAATGTACTGTGGTGATGGATTTTAGATTTTCATTTAATGGAGGTAAAATCAGTGAATGGGTAATCGTAAAATTACAACACGTCAGCTCTCTATTATGACTGAAACTATTGTGTTGTAACATTGTGTTTTTTCTTCTGACCTAGCTGCTGGATGAAGACAGGAAAGAGGCCCAAGGAAACTTGCACGGACTCCTGGAGACTCTGGTAGCAGATCTGTCGGGATTTGGTGGATTCCCCGGAGATGCTGTCCACAATGTCCCTTAACACAGGCAACGTCTGGTGCAGCACTGCTTTCGCTAAGAAAGAGAGAGAGAAAGAGGTGTGGGTTTATGCTATAAGGCCAAAAGTATAATGTCTCTAGTGTCCCGTTCTTACAATCAGTGCATTAAACTTCAGCGTGTAATCGTCTCACCACTATTTATGCATGGAATTATTATTATTACATATATACACACACACACAGTGCATTGGTAAAGTATTCAGACACCTCGACTTTTTCCACATTTTGTTACAGCCTAATTCTAAAATGGATAAAATGAAACATTCTTATCAATCTACACACAATACCCCATAATGACAACGCAAAAACAGGTTTAGAAATTTTTGCAAATGTATTACAAATTTTAAAAAAGAAATACCTTATTTTCATAAGTATTCAGACCCTTTGCTATGAGACTCTAAATTGAGCTAAGGTGCATCCTGTTTCCACTGATCATCCATGAGATGTTTCTACAACTTGGTTGGAGTCCACCTGTGGTAAATTCTCCGAGCTCCGAGACAGGATTGTGTCGAGGCACAGCTCTGGGGAAGGGTACCAAAACATTTCTGCAGCATTGAAGGTCCCCAAGAACACAGTTGCCACCAAGACTCTTCCTAGAGCTGGCCGCCCGGCCAAACTGAGCAATCGGGGAAGAAGGGCCTTGGTCAGGGAGGTGACCAAGAACCTGATGGTCACTCTGACAGAGCTCCAGTTCCTCTGTGGAGATGGGAGAACCTTCCAGAATGACAACCATCTCTGCAGCACTCCACCAATCAGGACTTTATAATAGAGTGGCCAGATGGAAGCCACTTCTCAGTAAAAGGCACATGACAGCCCGCTTAGAGTTTACCAAAAGGCACCTAACGGACTTTCAGATCATGAGAAACAAGATTCTCTGGTCTGATGAAACCAAGATTGAACTCTTTGGCCTGAACGCCAACCGTCACGTCTGGAGGAAACCTGGCACCATCCCTACGGTGAAGCATGGTGGTGGCAGCATCATGCTGTGGGTATGTTTTTCAGTGGCAGGGACTGGGAGATTACGACCCTAAGCACACAGCCAAAACAACGCAGAAGTGGCTTTGGAACAAGTCTCTGAATGTCCTTGACTAGCCAGAGCCTGGACTTGAACCCGATCGAACATCTCTGGAGAGACCTGAAAATAGCTGTGCAGCTACGCTCCCCATCCAACCTGACACTCCCCAAATACAAGTGTGCCAAGCTTGTAGCGTCATACCCAATAAGACTTGAGGCTGTAATCGAAATCAAAGGTGCTTCAACAAAGTACTGAGTAAAGGGTCTGAATACTTATGTAAATGTATATTACAGTTTTTTTGTACAAACATTTCTAAAAATATGTTTTTGCTTTGTCATTATGGGGTATTGTGTGTAGATTGATGAGAATATATATATTTTTTATCAGGTTGTAACGTAACAAAATGTGGAAAAAGTAAAGGGGTCTGAATACTTCCCGAAGGCACTGTACACCATTTGGTACCAAGCAGTTACCAATTGAGTTCAAATAGGTAGGTTTGGGCGGTATTCGAATTTCCATACCGTTCATGTACCATATTGGGGTATGCGCTATTACCGGCAGTGCCCACAAGGGACGCAATTTCTTTCCAAACATTATTATTTATTGCTTTTAGCTAACAAAGTACTAGCAAATTCCCATATGGGACACTAGCTAAATGCTAATAAGCGCAAGCGAACATAAACTAAATGCAGGACAGACAACCCAGCTAATAAAGTCATACAACTATCTCAAAAAGGCTACTCACACTTGATCCAGGAGGGAATTGATTGTCTCTGCTGTAACCAAAAAGCTTAATCTTGAAAGCTAGCCACTTATAGCTAGCAAGTTAGCAAACAAAATGCATAGCTGGAGCCCTGAGCTGGAGCAAATGTATTTGGCACATCTTAGATAGTTAACGTATAGTTATAAGATATGTAGCTGGCAAACATCAGTAGTGTAACTTGATCACCTCGCTTGTGCTGCTCAAGAGTGGATCGTCACGTCATGTTTGCGCCATGTGGTCTTTATAAGCATGCTCAATATAATAAAAAAATAAAAAGGCTTTTGGCAGTATTGAAAATCATACGTTGGTACTTCAAAATACCCCGGTATACCGCCCAAGCCTAGAAATAAGTACTAAAAAGTACCCATTGTCATCATATCTTTCCCCCCACATTATTTCTTAGTAAATACCAGCTGAAATACCAGCTGAAACAGGACTGTAGCAATATCAAAACTACAGGAGACGTTTGGATGATAAATGGCATGAAGCCCAACTGACTGTCTTCCAGGCCAAGGCGGCGTGGTGGCTGGTTGGCAGTGTCCCTCAGTAGGCGGTAGTGGCGGGTGAGGGCAGCCAGCAGGCTGCCGTGGCTACTGGAGCGGGTTTGCCACTGCTGCTCGCTCTCTGGCAGGTTAGACCAAGGCAGCAGCAGCATGTTGGACAGAGCCCTGCACACGAGCATGTGGGCCTGGAGGAGTGGAGACACACACACATTAGACAGATCCCTCCACGCATAACCATACACACTCAAGCAGGTGCGACTATAGGTGGGGAGTATAGACATTCCATGAGACACATTATGCATACATGCACGCACACACATTGGATATCACCCTCACCCTGCCCACTACATGATCATGTCAACATTGGCACATTAGATAAAGCCCTAAAGCACTACACCCCAGAATCCGGAGAGAGAAAAGTTGTATTATTTTAAGTGGTCCATTTCTAATCAGGAAATAGATTAAGGACGGGCATTGACGACAACCTGCGGTCGGAATGAATCTCGAACCTAAGCCTCAAAATAACATTGAAGCCATAATGGCGCACTCTGACCTCTTGGGGGAGCCTGCGAGTCTGGCTCTCTGTGATGAGGTTGAAGATGTTCTGCACGGCGGGCAACGTGACCAGGAAAACAGGCCGCACGGTGGTCGCCATGGACACCATGAGATGGCATGCCGACAGCAGCAACTTTTCGGGTACCTAGAAGAGAAAGACAGTTTCACAATTAAATAGGTAACACAAGGAATTGCCAAAGTTTGGAAAGATTCTTAGTTGACTGGCTAAAATGATCTGATAACCAGTTTTTGGCCAATGAGAACACAAACATGCAAGCTCAGTTGGTCGGCATAAAAATGGACACACTGGGTGTCATGTCATGATACCAATTGCACAACATCAGCAACTAGGTAAGATTTAACACAGACATACTGTTACTACCACATACTGAGTGTGTGTGTGTGTGTACGGTTGGTTACCTTGGCAGTGATGAGTGGTGCGGTGGCGTCCATGGTGGAGGTGACGAGGCTGATGAAGCGGCTCTGGTTCTGCCTCTGAACCTCACTGTAGAATTGAGCCAGCCAGTGGGAGTAAGCCTGCAACGCCGCCAAGGACTGGGCATGGCTGGACACAAACACACATTAACATCTGTGACAATACAGTTACATTTGCCAAGAGAATCAAATGCTCTCTGACTATTTTCTTATCACACATTTTTGTTTAATAAACATGTGAATTCTGAAGTTACGTCTATAGACAAGGGTAAAAGACAGCAATTTCTGACGAATACACTACATATCTACAGTGCCTTCAGAAAGTATTCATACCCCTTGACTTATTCCACATTTTGTTGTGTAAGAGCCTGAATTCAAAATGGATTAATTAGATTTTTTTCTCATTCATCTACACACAATACCCCATAATGACAAATTGAAAACAGTTTATTTTGTTGAAATGTTGGCAAATTTATAGAAAATTAAATACAGAAATATCTAATTTACATAAGAATTCAAACCAGAGTCAATACATGTTAGAATCACCTTTGGAAGTGATTACAGCTGTGAGTCTTTCTGGGTAAGTCTCTAAGAGCTTTGCACACCTGGATTGTACAATATTTGCACATTATTCTTTAAAAAATCTTCAAGCTCTGTCAAGTTGGTTGTTGATCATTGCTAGACAGCCATTTTCAAGTCATACCATAGATTTTCAAGCCGATTTAAGTCAAAACTGTAGCTAAGCCACTCAGGAACATTCAATGTCGTCTTGGTAAGCAACTCCAGCGTATATTTGGCCTTGTATTTTAGGTTATTGAAAGGTGAATTTGTCTCCCAGTGTCTGTTGGAAAGCAGACTGAACCAAGTATTCCTCTATTCCGTTTATTTGCTCCAAACATAACACTTTCTATTCAGGACAAAGTTAATTTCTTTGCCACATTTTTTGCCATTTTACTTTAGTGCCTTATTACAAACCGGATGCATGTTTTGGAATATTTCTATTCTGTACAGGCTTCCTCCTTTTAACTCTATTGTGGAGTAACTACAATGTTGTTGAATCATCCTCAGTTTTTTCTATCACAGTCATTACTGTTTTAAAGTCACCATTGGCCTCATGGTGAAATCCCTGAGCGGTTTCCTTCCTCTCCGGCAACTGAGTTAGGAAGGACGCCTGTATCTTTGTAGTGACTGGGTGTATTGATACACCATCCAAAGTGTAATTAATAACTTCACCATGCTCAAAGGGATATTCAATGTCTGCTTTTTATTTTATTTTTACCCATCTACCAATAGGTGTCCTTCTTTGCGAGGCATTGGAAAACCACCCTGGTCTTTGTGGTTGAATCTGTGTTTGAAATTCACTGCTCGACTGAGGGACCTTACAGATAATTGTATGTGTGGGGTACAGAGATGAGGTAGTAATTCCAACTCATGTTAAAAACTATTATTTCACACAGAGTGAGTACATGCAACTTCTTATGTGACTCGTTAAGCAAATTTGTAGTCCTGAACTTGCAGTATTTAGGCTTGCCATAACAAAGGGGTTAAATACTTATTGACTCAAGACATTTCATCTTTTCATTTTTAATTAATAAAAAAAAAAAATCTAAAAACATAATTCCACTTTGACATGATGGGGTATTATGTGTAGGCCAGTGACACAAAATCTAAATTTTATCAATTTTAAATTCAGGCTGTAACAACAAAATGTGGAAAAGTCAAGGGATGTGAATACTTTCTGAAGGCACTGTAGACAGTGGCAGTAAACGGTTGACACTCACACGTCGATGAGGTCAGGCTTGAGCACAGATGGCACGGCAGTCTCCAAGTCATACAGGCTGATCTGAGAGCCATAGCATGTGACCTCCACCAATCTATAAACACAAGTGCAGAGACACTAAACAATGATGCAATCTGAATTATTTATTTCCTTATCAAAATTCTCACCTGTAATACAAGAAGACAGGATTGGGGTAAATTTGATTTCAATTCAGGAAGTACTACATTGTCAATTCCAAATCAAGACTTATAAAATTGTCTTGCCACTTTTCAATAATTCACTTGGAATAATAAAATCTCAAGTGTAAGTGGTCACTCAGGAAAATGCATAATTTCATTTTGGCCAAAAGCTCTTTTCTCTTTCTTCTTCACATATTGGAGGCCACCAAAGGGATAGGCGCTAGGAACCAAAACGAAGGTAAACACTGATGTTTGACAGAAGCAAGGGGGTCAACTCCATTTTAATTAAGCCAATTCAGGAAGTAAACTGAAATTTAAATGGAAGTGACCACAACCATGGACTGAAGGAAGCAGTGTGGCACACTAACCTCTCCACCACCGCTAGCGCATCGTTGAAGCGTGCGGCGAAAACGTCCCCAATGAAATACCCAGCCAGCCTCCCGACAGCCTGAAGTAGGGAGCTGAGGTCCCTGAGAGCGCAGTGCAGCCTCCGACAATCATGCTCTGCTGTGATGTTCAGTCTCCGACCTGCCACAAATAAAGAGTAGAGATGAGGATAAGCACATGCTCAATTTCATGAAATAACCTTTTAAATGAGCAAAAAAATAATAACTGTCCATTGCATGCTTTTCAGAAGACTCTTTCAGTACTGAAAGTGTATTTTTAAGTGCTTTTTACTGCACTTTTGGTTTCATGTCTGAAAATGAAAGGCAAACAACCCCTAGCCCCTGCCCCCTGAGAGCACTGGTTAGGTGTTAGCAAAATGGCCCAGCCTATGAGAGCTACTACCATATCACTTAGACCTATCCAATTCCTTAAAATATACACCTGTACCAATGAGATAGGCATTAAAAGTTGTTTCTGGATACCACGATTATGATTTTATCCTACAGATCAATAAAACCTATTCCATTTTTTACATGTAAAATATTTGTTTCCAAAAAAACTTTCAAATAATCTTGATTGTGTACATCTTCAACCAGCTAATACTTGGTGGAAGCACCTTTTGTAGCTAGCCAGCTGTGAATAACTTTGAATAAGATTCTACCAACTGCACAACTCTTTACCAGTTTATTAGGTACATCACTACAGACAGTGAGTCACGTAGCTTGCGATATAAAGCAGGCAGACAGGCATCGAGGCATTCAGTTACCGTTCGATTGAACGTTAAAATGGCCAAAACGAGTGACCTAAGCGACTTGGAGCGTGGTATGATCAATCAATCAATCAATCAATTTTATTTTATATAGCCCTTCTTACATCAGCTAATATCTCGAAGTGCTGTACAGAAACCCAGCCTAAAACCCCAAACAGCTAGTAATGCAGGTGTAGAAGCACGGTGGCTAGGAAAAACTCCCTAGAAAGGCGAAAACCTAGGAAGAAACCTAGAGAGGAACCAGGCTATGAGGGGTGGCCAGTCCTCTTCTGGCTGTGCCGGGTGAAGATTATAACAGAACCATGCCAAGATGTTCAAAAATGTTCATAAGTGACAAGCATGGTCAAATAATAATCAGGAATAAATCTCAGTTGGCTTTTCATAGCCGATCATTAAGAGTTGAAAACAGCAGGTCTGGGACAGGTAGGGGTTCCATAACCGCAGGCAGAACAGTTGAAACTGGAATAGCAGCAAGGCCAGGCGGACTGGGGACAGCAAGGAGTCACCACGGCCGGTAGTCCCGACGTATGGTCCTAGGGCTCAGGTCTCTCAGTTGGCTTTTCATAGCCGATCATTAAGAGTTGAAAACAGCAGGTCTGGGACAGGTAGGGGTTTCGTAACCGCAGGCAGAACAGTTGAAACTGGAATAGCAGCAAGGCCAGGCGGACTGGGGACAGCAAGGTGTCATCATGCCCGGTAGTCCTGACGTATGGTCCTAGGGCTCAGGTTCTCAGAGAGAAAGAGAGAACGAGAGAATTAGAGAGAGCATACTTAAATTCACACAGGACACTGGATAAGACAGGAGAAGTACTCCAGGTATAACCAACTAACCCCAGCCCCCCGACACATAAACTACTGCAGCATAAATACTGGAGGCTGAGACAGGAGCGGTCCGGAGACACTGTGGCCCCATCCGAAGAAACCCCCGGACAGGGCCAAACAGGAAGGATATAACCCCACCCACTCTGCCAAAGCACAGCCCCCGCACCACTAGAGGGATATCCTCAACCACCAACTTACAATCCTGAGACAAGGCCGAGTATAGCCCACAGAGGTCTCCACCACAGCACAAACCAAGGGGGGGGGCGCCAACCCAGACAGGAAGATCACGTCAGTAACTCAACCCACTCAAGTGACGCACCCCATCTGTGCCAGGCGCGCCGGTTCAAGTATCTCAGAAATGGCCGGCCTCCTGGGCTTTTCACGCACAAGTGTCTAGGGTTTACAGAGAATGGTGCGACAAACAAAAAACATCCAGTTAGCGGCAGTCCTGTGGGCGAAAACAGTTTGTTGATGAGAGGTCGAAGGAGAATGGCAAGAATCGTACAAGCTAACAGGTGGGCCACACACAGGTAAATAACGGCGCAGTACAACAGTGGTGTGCAGAATGGCATCTCGGAACGCAAAACTCGTCGGTCCTCGTCACAGATTGGCTATTGCAGCAGATGACCACACCGGGTTCCACACTTATCAGCTAAAAACAAGAAGAAGCAGCTCCAGTGGGCACGCAATCACCAACACTGGACAATTGAGGAGTGGAAAAACATTGCCTGGTCCGACGAATCCTGGTTCCTGTTGCTGATGGCAGAGTCAGGATTTGGCGTAAGCAGTGTGAGTCCATGGCCCCATCCTGCCTGGTGCTCAACGGTACAGGCTGATGGCGGTAGTGTTATTTATTTATATTTTATTACATTTTATTTAATCAGGGGAGACCAATTGAGATCAGGGTCTCATTTTCAATAGTGCCCTGAGACCATAAAGTAAAATATAAAAAAACTATATAACACACAATAACAATGTAATGGTGTGGGGAATGTGTTCCTGGCACATGTTAGGTCCCTTCATACCAATTGAGCAACGTTTGAACGCAACACCTGGTAGAATCCATGACCCGAAGAATTCAGGCTCTTCTGGAGGCAAAAGGGGGTCCGACCCAGTACTAGATGGCCACTGAGTGTATATCCATTGCCCAAGTGCAGTACATTTGGTTGGGAATCATTGATGGATAGCAATATTCAAACCTGGTCTCTGATTATGAAGCAAATTTTAGTCAGGAATGAGAATGGACAACTCAGCATCTCTTCAAAAGCCTTTCTGACAAATTATTCTGGTGTGTCTATGGCATTCATTCTTTTGAAAACCTAGTCTTCCGTTTCCATATTTTGTAGAGTTGTTGGGTATGCTAGTTTCAAGTGCTAGTTATCAAGTGTGGCCGACAGTCTGCGATGTAGAATAATAAAGAACTAAGGGAAGAATAAAGGCGGAGCTGTATGTTTCATGATTAACTACCCATGGTGTGATTGTGTTAACGTACAGGAACTCAAGTCCTTTTGTTCACCCGACCTAGAATACCTTGTTAGATACTACTGCACTGTTGGAGCTAGGAACACAAGCATTTCGCAACAACCGCAATAACATCTGCTAAATATGTGTATGTGACCAATACAATTTGAGTTGATTTTTGATTTGATATTTACTGAAGTCGAAAATGATTTAGGCCGGTAAAGTCAAACGTCACAACACGTTCTAAACTGCTCTGGTGAAAAACACTTTTTGCCTCGTCTCCATTCGTTAGGCTGCTGGCTAACTTTATGTTTGCTACCACCAAAAAACAAAATAATAATAAAGATTGCCCATTATTTCATTTTTGTAAGAACCCAAAAAACTGAGGCAGTGGGAGAACCTATTCAAGAAAGTAAATACATTTTTAAATGTAAAAAAAGTATGTATTATTACCAAGCTAGCTAGCTGGCTACAATAGGCACCTTTGTAGGCTAACTCAACTAAGCTTCTAGCTAACTTTACACACTGTTTAGCTAGAAAAGTAAATTAAATGTATCAGCTAGCTAACTTCCTATTAGCTAGCTATCTTGATGTAATTCATTGTAATTAAAAACAGTCTTCAAATGCATTTGTAAATAACAGCCATGGAAAAGCGTGAAATTGCAGCTTCTGCTGTCAGTAAAAGGAGAGCATAGGCTACTGCATAGGGCAGGCAATTTAATGGGAGGACATTATGAAAATATTCTCCAGTTACAGTCCCTAAAAGGGGAAAACTTTGAGGACAAAGAGACAACAGCAACATAATATTCAGAGCGATCTAATTTGAGTATAATGAAGCCTGTGTCTTTGTGATGTTTTCTGTCATCAGATATAGAAAGCTGTGAAAGCCTGTTTGCAAATGAAGAGAGCACTCCTAATGAATGTCGCAAGAGACTAATGGTATATCTTATATCAAATCAAATGTATTGGTCACATACACATGGTTAGCAGATGTTACTGCGAGTGTAGCAAAATGCTTGTGCTTCTAGTTCCGACAGTGCAGTAATATCTTGAAAGTAATATCTAACAGTTCCACAACAAATATCTAATACACACAAAACTAAGTAGAGGAATGGAATAAGAATATATACATATATGGATGAGCAATGTCATTGGGTTATACAGTGCCTTCAGAAAGTACTCATACCCATTGACATATTCCACATTCTGTTGTTACAGCCCAAATTCAAAATGGATTAAATATGTTTTGCCCATTCACCCTCTGAATGGCACACACACACAATCCATGTCTCAATTATTTCAAGGCTTAAAATTCCTTCTTTAAATCGATCTCTTTCCCTTCCTCTACACTGATTGAAGTGGATTTAACAAGTGACATTAAGGGATCATAGTTTTCACCTGGTCAGTCTATGTCATGGAAAAGAGCAGGTGTTCCTAATGTTTTATACACAATGTATTTAGGCTTGCCATAACAAAGGAGTTGAATACTTACAGTGAGGGAAAAAAGTATTTGATCCCCTGCTGATTTTTTACATTTGCCCACTGACAAAGAAATGATCAGTCTATAATTTTAATGGTAGGTTTATTTGAACAGTGAGAGACAGAATAACAACAAAAAATCCAGAAAAATGCATGTCAAAAATGTTATAAATTGATTTGCATTTTAATGAGGGAAATAAGTATTTGACCCCCTCTCAATCAGAAAGATTTCTGGCTCCCAGGTGTCTTTTATACAGGTAACGAGCTGAGATTAGGAGCACACTCTTAAAGGGAGTGCTCCTAATCTCAGCTTGTTACCTGTATAAAAGACACCTGTCCACAGAAGCAATCAATCAATCAATCAGATTCCAAACTCTCCACCATGGCCAATACCAAAGAGCTCTCCAAGGATGTCAGGGACAAGATTGTAGACCTACACAAGGCTGGAATGGGCTACAAGACCATCGCCAAGCAGCTTGGTGAGAAGGTGACAACAGTTGGTGCGATTATTCGCAAATGGAAGAAACACAAAATAAAGGTCAATCTCCCTCAGCCTGGGGCTCCATGCAAGATCTCACCTCGTGGAGTTGCAATGATCATGAGAACGGTGAGGAATCAGCCCAGAACTACACGGGAGGATCTTGTCAATGATCTCAAGGCAGCTGGGACCATAGTCACCAAGAAAACAATTGGTAACACACTACACCGTGAAGGACTGAAATCCTGCAGCACCCGCAAGGTCCCCCTGCTCAAGAAAGCACATATACAGGCCCGTCTGAAGTTTGCCAGTGAACATCTGAATGATTCAGAGGAGAACTGGGTGAAAGTGTTGTGGTCAGATGAGACCAAAATCGAGCTCTTTGGCATCAACTCAACTCGCCGTGTTTGGAGGAGGAAGAATGTTGCCTATGACCCCAAGAACACCATCCCCACCGTCAAACATGGAGGTGTAAACATTATGCTTTGGGGGTGTTTTTCTGCTAAGGGGACAGGACAACATGACCGCATCAAAGGGTCGATGGACGGGGCCATGTACCGTCAAATCTTGGGTGAGAACCTCCTTCCCTCAGCCAGGGCATTGAAAATGGGTTGTGGATGGGTATTCCAGCATGACAATGACCCAAAACACACGGCCAAGGCAACAATGGAGTGGCTCAAGAAGAAGCACATTAAGGTCCTGGAGTGGCCTAGCCAGTCTCCAGACCTTAATCCCATAGAAAATCTGTGGAGGGAGCTGAAGGTGACTTGGAGAAGATCTGCAAAGAGGAGTGGGACAAAATCCCTCCTGAGATGTCTGCAAACCTGGTGGCCAACTACAAGAAACGTCTGACCTCTGTGATTGTTAACAAGGGTTTTGCCACCAAGTATTAAGTCATGTTTTGCAGAGGGGTCAAATACTTATTTCCCTCATTAAAATGCAAATAAATGTATAACATTTTTTACATCTGTTTTTCTGGATTTTGTTGTTGTTATTCTGTCTCTCACTGTTCAAATAAACCTAACATTACAATTATAGACTGATCATGTCTTTGTCAGTGGGCAAACGTACAAAATCAGCAGGGGATCAAATACTTTTTTCCCTCACTGTATAGACAAGACATTTCAGCTTTACATTTTTAATCAATTTATAAACATTTTCTAAAAACAATTCCACTTTGACATTATGGGGTATTGTGTGCAGGCCAGTGAAACAAATCTCAATTTAATCCATTTTAAATTCAGGCTGTGAAACAAAATGTGGAAAAAGTCAGGGGGTGTAAATATTTTCTGAAGGCACTGTATGTGTTGGCCTACCTAAGTTAGCAAATGTACACAAAAAGACAGTTAAACATCACACACAATGTATAAAACCAATCAAATTGGAGCAGGCCAACCCTGCTGGAGGTCTGCTGGGTGTGCTGGGTTCTGTTTCAGTCCAGCAATAACACACCTGATTCAACTTATTAAACCTCAAGTGTCATATTGCTGTACTGGAATAGTAGTCTGCTCACCCAGTAGATCAGGGATCAGTGGAGCAAGGTTGGCCACCGCTGGTATCGAGTTTATTTTTGCAGCTTATCATATGGCATGCATTGGCAATGCAAATAACATTTAATGTCACATGTGCCGAATTCAAGGGTTGTAGTCTTTACCGTGAAATGCTTGCTTACGAGCAATGTTCCGTTAAATTTTTTGGGGCACTGAGCAGATTTTAGGTCTTGCGAGCAGAAACTTGAACATTGTGAGACTTTTGGGCAACTTCCGGCGCGCGTTTACAGTGAACACTGAGGCTGTACCCTTACAGTTTTACACAGTAGCCAATAGGCTATTGTAGCTATTTGAGCATAATGTAGGCCTACCAACAAAACCAATGGAGCTAATCCCATAACATTTTCACATGGAAATAGCTTAGGATTTCTATGAGATAGCCTACAGTATCCTTTATGGTGTTCAATGCAGGCCTACAGTGGGGGAAAAAAGTATTTAGTCAGCCACCAATTGTGCATGTTCTCCCGCTTAAAAAGATGAGAGAGGCCTGTAATTTTCATCATAGGTACATGTCAACTATGACAGACAAAATGAGAAAAAAAAATCCAGAAAATCACATTGTAGGATTTTTTATGAATTTATTTGCAAATTATGGTGGAAAATAAGTATTTGGTCAATAACAAAAGTTTCTCTATACTTTGTTATATACCCTTTGTTGGCAATGACACAGGTCAAACGTTTTCTGTAAGTCTTCACAAGGTTTTCACACACTGTTGCTGGTATTTTGGCCCATTCCTCCATGCAGATCTCCTCTAGAGCAGTGATGTTTTGGGGCTGTTGCTGGGCAACACGGACTTTCAACTCCCTCCAAAGATTTTCTATGGAGTTGAGATCTGGAGACTGGCTAGGCCACTCCAGGACCTTGAAATGCTTCTTACGAAGCCACTCCTTCGTTGCCCGGGCTGTGTGTTTGGGATCATTGTCATGCTGAAAGACCCAGCCACGTTTCATCTTCAATGCCCTTGCTGATGGAAGGAGGTTTTCACTCAAAATCTCACGATACATGGCCCCATTCATTCTTTCCTTTACACGGATCAGTCGTCCTGGTCCCTTTGCAGAAAAACAGCCCCAAAGCATGATGTTTCCACCCCCATGCTTCACAGTAGGTATGGTGTTCTTTGGATGCAACTCAGCATTCTTTGTCCTCCAAACACGACGAGTTCTATTTTGGTTTCATCTGACCATATGACATTCTCCCAATCCTCTTCTGGATCATCCAAATGCACTCTAGCAAACTTCAGATGGGCCTGGACATGTACTGGCTTAAGCAGGGGGACACGTCTGGCACTGCAGGATTTGAGTCCCTGCCAGCGTTGTGTGTTACTGATGGTAGGCTTTGTTACTTTGGTCCCAGCTCTCTGCAGGTCATTCACTAGGTCCCCCCGTGTGGTTCTGGGATTTTTGCTCACCGTTCTTGTGATCATTTTGACCCCACGGGGTGAGATCTTGCGTGTAGCCCCAGATCGAGGGAGATTATCAGTGGTCTTGTATGTCTTCCATTTCCTAATAATTGCTCCCACAGTTGATTTCTTCAAACCAAGCTGCTTACCTATTGCAGATTCAGTCTTCCCAGCCTGGTGCAGGTCTACAATTTTGTTTCTGGTGTCCTTTGACAGCTCTTTGGTCTTGGCCATAGTGGAGTTTGGAGTGTGACTGTTTGAGGTTGTGGACAGGTGTCTTTTATACTGATAACAAGTTCAAACAGGTGCCATTAATGCAGGTAACGAGTGGAGGACAGAGGAGCCTCTTAAAGAAGAAGTTACAGGTCTGTGAGAGCCTATGATGAAAATTACAGGCCTCTCATATTTTTAAGTGGGAGAACTTGCACAATTGGTGGCTGACTAAAAACTTTTTTTCCCCACTGTATATAGTGCAAACTAATGGGGCGTTTCTGCGCGGCATGGCATTTCTTCTGCGTTCTGTGCGAGGCCGCGCACGTGCGCAGCTTAAAAGGGAACATTGCTTACGAGCCCTTCCCAACGACTCAGAGTTTTAAAATTATAATAGAAAGAAAAATAGTAACACGAGGAATAAAATACACAAGAATGGAGCCATATACAGGGAGTACCGGTACCAGATCAATGTACAGGGTTACGATGTAATTAAGGTAGATACAGTGCATTCGGAAAGTATTCAGACCCCTTGACTTTTTCTGCATTTTGTTACGTTAGCCGTATTTTAAAATGGTTTTAAATTATTTGTTTTCGTCATCAATCTACACACAATACCCCATAATGACAAAGTGAACAGGTTTTTAGAATTGATAAAAAAACAAAAATACCTTATTTAAGTAAGTATTCAGACCCTTTGCTATGAGACTCGAAATTGAAATTCATGTTTCCATTGATCATCCTTGAGATGTTTCTACAACTTGATTGGAGTCCATCTGTGGTAAATTCAATTGATTGGACTTGATTTGGTAAGGCAAACGTCTGGAGGAAACCTGGCACCATCCCTACGGTGAAGCATGGTGGTGGCAGCATCATGCTGTGGGGATGTTTTTCATCGGCAGGGACTGGGAGACTAGTCAGGATGGAGGGAAAGATGAACGGAGCAAAGTACAGAGAGATTCTTGATGAAAACCTGCTCCAGAGTGCTCAGGACCTCAGACTGTGGTGTAGGTTCACCTTCCAACAGGACAACGACCCTAAGCACACAGCCAACACAACGCTGGAGTGGACTCAGGACAAGTCTCTGAATATCCTTGAGTGGCATAGCCAGAGCCCGGACTTGAACCCGATCGAACATCTCTGGAGAGACCTGAAAATAGCTGTGCAGCGACGCTCCCCATCAAACCTGACAGAGCTTGAGAGGATCTGCAGAGAAGAATGGGAGAAACTCCCCAAATACAGGTGTGCCAAGCTTGTAGCGTCATACCAAAGAAGACTCGAGGCTGTAACCGCTGCCAAAGGTGCTTCAACAAAGTACTAAGTAAAAGGTCTGAATACTTATGTAAATGTGATATTTCAGTTTTATATTTTTAATACATTTGCAAAATTTAAAAAACCTGTTTTTGCTATGTCATTATGGGGTATTGCGTGTAGATTGAGGGAAAAAAAACCCAATTTAATCAATTTTAGAATAAGGCTGTAACGTAACAAAATGTGGAAAAAGTCAAGGGGTCTGAATAGTTTAAGAATGCACTGTATATATAGACTACCAGTCAGAATTTTGGACACTTACTCATTCAAGGGTTTTTCTTTATTTTTACATTGTAGAATAATGGTGAAGACATCAAAACTATGAAATAACACATATGGAATCATGTAATAACCAAAAAGTGTTAAACAAATCAAAAAACATTTTATATTTGAGGTTCTTCAAATAACCACCTTGATGACAGCTTTGCACACTCTTGGCATTCTCGCAACCAGCTTCATTAGGTAGTCACCTGGAATGCATTTCAATTAACAGGTGTGCTTTCTTAAAAGTTAATTTGTGGAATTTCTTTCCTTCTTAATGAGTTTGAGCCAATCAGTTGCGTTGTGACAAGGTAGGGGCGTTTACAGAAGATAGCCCTATTTGGTAAAAGACCAAGTCCATATTATGGCAAGAACAGCTCAAGTAAGCAAAGAGAAACGATAGTCCATCATTACTTTAAGACAAGAAGGTCAGTCAATACGGAACATTTCAAGAACTTTGGAAGTTTCTTCAAGTGCAGTCGCAAAAAGCATCAAGTGCTATGATGAAACAGGCTCTCATGAGGACCGCCACAGGAATGGAAGACCCAGAGTTACCTCTGCTGCAGAGGATAAGTTCATTAGAGTTACCAGCCTCAGAAATTGCAGCCCAAATAAATGTTTAACAGAGTTCAAGTCACAGACACATCTCAACATCAACTGTTCAGAGGGGACTGTGTGAATCAGGCCTTCGTGGTCAAATCACTGCAAAGAAACCACTACTAAAGGACACCAATAATAAGAAGAGACCTGCTTGGGCCAAGGAACACGAGCAATGGACATTAGACCAGTGGAAATTTGTCCTTTGGTCTGGAGTCCAAATGTGAGATTTTTGGTTCCAACTGCCGTGTCTTTGTGAGACGCGGTGTGGGTGAACGTATGATCTCCGCATGTGTATTTCCCACCTTAAAGCATGGAGGAGGAGGTGTTATGTTGTGGGGGTGCTTTGCTGGTGACACTGTCTGTGATTTATTTAGAATTGAAGGCACACTTAACTAGCATGGCTACCACATCATTCTGCAGCGATACGCCATCCCATCATTTATTTTTGAACAGGACAATGACCCAAAACACCTCCAGGTTGTGTAAGGGCTATTTTACTAAGGAGAGTGATGGAGTGCTGCATCAGATGGCCTGGCCTCCACAATCACCTGACCTCAACCCAATTGAGATGGTTTGGGATGAGTCGGACGGCAGAGTGAAGGAAAAGCAGCCAACAAGTGCACAGCATATGTGGTAACTCCTTCAGGACTGTTGGAAAAGCATTCCAGGTGAAGCTGGTTGAGAATGCCAAGAGTGTGCAAAGCTGTCATCAAGGCAAAAGGTGGCTATTTGAAGAATTTCAAATTTCAAATATATATATATATATATATATATTTTTTTTTTTTTAAAAATTAGTTACTACATGATTCCATATGTTATTTCATAGTTTTAAAGTCTTCACTATTATTCTACAATGTAAAAAATAGTACAAATATAGAAAAACCCTTGAATGAGTAGGTGTGTCCAAACTTTTGACGGGTATGTATATATTCTTTTTTCCCCCTCACTGTATTGCTGAGGAGAGCTCACAAGTAAGCTTTTCATTGTACCGTTAACACCCTCTGTATTCTGTGCATATGATTAATAAACTTTGATTTTATTTGGATAAGGCCATGTTGTCTCATGCAAAAATGTTCACTCACTTGTTCCTGAAGTGACGATGAACTGCTGCAAACCCAGGTACACATCCAAGTCTTCTTGGAGGACAGGGAACTGAGAGAGAGATAAATGGTTAAGGAGTCAGGGGTTTAAGAAATAGTTAACTCCAAAATCAATGTTAGTCAGACGTTTTGTCTTGAAGATCAATGTTAGTCAGACGTTTTGTCTTGAAGATAAAAGGATGATAAGATAATGTCATGTTGTCATAAAGCACATCACATTAAACTAATGCAGGGTGAAAGGTGATATGTGCACAAGACAAAAAAAGGCCTGCACATTCAATGTGCATAATACCACCTTTAGAATCATCAACATTTTAATCATTAGGAGCATTACAGTGTGTTGACCTTTTTGGTCTTTCCCAGGAATATAAAATGAGAAGAAACAACGAGAACACTCACCAACGTGGCGAAGGCATGGGACGGTAGCAGCTCCATCACCTTGGCAACAACCTCCAGACTCTGCCGTAAGTACCGCTGCCAATCAGTCTGTTGCTATGATAAGCACAAAGAGTGAAACTATTGATACAGGTGGAGGCAAAACAAGCAGTCTGTGTGTGTGTATACACTGTTGTAATATATGTGATATAATGGGGACAACAAAATGTTCCTTTAACACACTAGGCAATAAAGGTGCGGACCAACATGACTCTCAGCAATACTGACGAAAGCAGTGCGAGAAGTAAAGCCTCTTACATCATCATCCAGGGTCTCATCATCCAGCTCCTCTAATTGGGCCTGGTTATATCGGAACTGGATTCGGTTGAGAACCTCTCTTAATAGCAGCACCAAAGCATCCTTATACCTGTAGAACCGCACAAGCGGACAGATTAGCGGCCAATAGAAGAAGCAGCACCATACAAGAGGCTAGTAACTTTCTAACGACAGAACCATATTAAAAACATTATAGCAACTCTGGCCCTCAAGAGTTACTGGGTGTGCAGGCTTTCGTTTAAGCCCTTCAGTAAGACAGATACTGCTAATAATAATATCCCAGACTGAATACTATGATAAGTTGATTACTTGAATCGGGTGTGTTGATCAAGTGGCGGGCTGGGAGAAAAGTCTACACAACCAGTAGCTCTCCAAGATCAAAGTTGGAGAACCTTGCATTACAGGCACTGAACCATAAACATTTCACGCATCAAAAGACATTCCTGATAGTACATCAACATTCCTTTGCTTTATATACATGTAGAGCCAGAGCAACACTGAAAATGACATTAAATCCATTCAGTTGTACCTGTTCAGCACACTGTCTCGGTCAGCCAGCCTACTTTTGATTTTAGTGGTTAAATAATCCAAGAAGATACTCCAGATGTCCAAACAGGCAAAATAGCCTTCGTGGTTGGGCTAGAACAATAGGACAGAAGAGCAGTCATTTTCTCTACAGTACATGACAGAGGTTTCTGATTCCTCAACAGTCATACTCTAGGTAATATTATTATGGAAGCCATCTTGGGCTGCTGCAGAGTTCTCTTTTTCTCTAATCGTTCCCCAACTGTGGTATACGATACTGTAGTACACACATACTTGAATAGTATCCAAGTATTTGGCCTCAATTAATTTCCATATAATATTTTAGTGTCAGCTGCCCCTGTGAGCAGTGTAAAGGCAAATGTAGAAAGTAAACAAAATGGCTGAAAGGATATGCTACCTGATTGAAAGTGTACTTGAAAAGCAGGGCTAAAAACTCCACCACAGGAAACTGAGCGTTGGACTCGATCCGCCGAAGGTGCACGCTGACGAACAGGCGCAGAAAGTCGGTGAACTTCTCTACATAACTGCAGACAGAGGGAGAGAGTGCCACACATATCTTTGCATTAGAGCCAAACCGATCGATTGGTTGACTGATATTGGCCTGTTACCGATCATACCTGCCTTTACAATGGATGGAGAAAAACACTCATGCTATTCTGAGCAGTTCAGATGTTTAAGTGATATTACAGAGGTTTTGTATAATTTCAGCCAGTAGTTGTGTACAACGCAAGATGTGGGTCGTTCCATGACTAGAATGCCTTTTTCATCTTCAGACATCTGTGGAAATGTTTCTAAAACACTGAATTTAAATCAGATCACATGCTCTACCTTAACCATGTTCAAAATTCCAAATGCAGTGTGTTTTCATAAAAAATAAGTATCTGAGAGCTTACTCTGGAAATGTACTGGTAGAGTATATTGTTTAACACGTCTAAACATGAACTAAATCTAAAACGCTACTTTTGAGATATTTACGTTAACATGTTTAATTATCCATAAATGAATGTAAAGAAATGCTATCCTTTATCCCTCTTGCATTCTTAACCCTCTTGCTTCAGAGCGTGCGTTTACTAGGCCTACATGACAGGAACGAGTGTGCAGATCTTGTGCACTACACTAGGCCTAAATGATGCCAGGTTAGAATGTAACGATTCTGTGACTTACTCCCCTGGGAATCGGAGAGGACTGCAGATAGTATATTATACATGTATGAGCCATACATTGACACGTCAAGTCCAAAATGTACGGTTTAAAAAAATACCAATGTAGTTTCCAAGATCCCGTCTAGCCTCTTTAGCTTAATCAAGTTTAATTTTCAAATGATAGGATTTGAATGGTGATTCCATCTTTGTGGGGCTGTATTTCCTTTGGACCTCAATATGAGCAGAAAACTGTTCCATGGTTGAAAAACGGTTGTGTCGGCAGACATATTGGAATTAGTGTATTTCGCACCACAAAAACTATGTATATACAGTAAGGGAAAAAAGTATTTGATCCCCTGCTGATTTTGTACGTTTGCCCACTGACAAAGACGTGATCAGTCTATCATTTTAATGGTAGGTTTATTTGAACAGTGAGAGACAGAATAACAACAACAAAATCCAGAAAAACGCATGTCAAAAATGTGATAAATTGATTTGCATTTTAATGAGGGAAATAAGTATTTGACCCCTCTGCAAAACACGACTTAGTACTTGGTGGCAAAACCCTTGTTGGAAATCACAGAGGTCAGACGTTTCTTGTAGTTGGCCACCAGGTTTGCACACATCTCAGGAGGGATTTTGTTCCACTCCTCTTTGCAGATCTTCTTCAAGTCATTAAGGTTTCGAGGCTGACGTTTGGCAACTCGAACCTTCAGCTCCATCCACAGATTTTATATGGGATTAAGGTCTGGAGACTGGCTAGGCCACTCCAGGACCTTAATGTGCTTCTTCTTGAGCCACTCCTTTGTTGCCTTGGCCGTGTGTTTTGGGTCATTGTCATGCTGGAATACCCATCCACGACCCGTTTTCAATGCCCTGGCTGAGGGAAGGAGGTTCTCACCCAAGATTTGACGGTACATGGCCCCGTCCATCGACCCTTTGATGCGGTGAAGTTGTCCTGTCCCCTTAGCAGATAAACACCCCCAAAGCATAATGTTTCCACCTCCATGTTTGACGGTGGGGATGGTGTTCTTGGGGGTCATAGGCAGCATTCCTCCTCCTCCAAACACGGCGAGTTGAGTTGATGCCAAAGAGCTCGATTTTGGTCTCATCTGACCACAACACTTTCACCCAGTTCTCCTCTGAATCATTCAGATGTTCATTGGCAAACTTCAGATGGCCCTGTATATGTGCTTTCTTGAGCAGGGGGACCTTGCGGGCGCTGCAGGATTTCAGTCCTGCACGGCGTAGTGTGTTACCAATTGTTTTCTTGGTGACTATGGTCCCAGCTGCCTTGAGATCATTGACAAGATCCTCCCGTGTAGTTCTGGGCTGATTCCTCACCGTTCTCATGATCATTGCAACTCCACGAGGTGAGATCTTGCATGGAGCCCCAGGCTGAGGGAGATTGACCTTTATTTTGTGTTTCTTCCATTTGCGAATAATCGCACCAACTGTTGTCACCTTCTCACCAAGCTGCTTGGCGATGGTCTTGTAGCCCATTCCAGCCTTGTGTAGGTCTACAATCTTGTCCCTGACATCCTTGGAGAGCTCTTTGGTCTTGGCCATGGTGGAGAGTTTGGAATCTGATTGATTGATTGCTTCTGTGGACAGGTGTCTTTTATACAGGTAACAAGCTGAGATTAGGAGCACTCCCTTTAAGAGTGTGCTCCTAATCTCAGCTCGTTACCTGTATAAAAGACACCTGGGAGCCAGAAATCTTTCTGATTGAGAGTGGGTCAAATACTTATTTCCCTCATTAAAATGCAAATTAATTTATAACATTTTTTACATGCATTTTTCTGGATTTTTGTTGTTGTTATTCTGTCTCTCACTGTTCAAATAAACCTACCATTAAAATTATAGACTGATAATTTCTTTGTCAGTGGGCAAACTTTTTTCCCCTCACTGTATGCAGAGTGACTTACAGGCTCAAGGGCACAGGCAGATTTTTCACCTAGTCGGTTACTGGCCCAACCCTCTTAACCACTAGGCTACCTGCCGCCATATTGGTCAGGCTCTACACATTGCATTGAGGTCTCAGGCTAAATTTCTGAACCAATAACCAAATATTGTATGCACTGGCCAGCTACTTGATTTGATTCTAGGGGCTGAGGTATTCAAATTCTGCACTGAACAGAAATAGCAGACTTGAAGTGGACTGAAATAGGTGCCGGTACTCTTTATATCCAAGTCAAGCACTGATCAATCCTCTCAAAGCCTCTGTCAAAGCCTGTCCCCAGCCCCCTCCCCTTGTAAAAAGTCTACCTGTGCTTACAATCAGGGCCATCATATGCACTTAATGACAACAAGGAGGTATCTGACAAAGTATTTGATGCACCAGAAGATGTGTTAGCAGCACAAAAGGCTTACTTCAATAAAGTTTACACTGACTTCATTTACTTGAAAATGTTAACTTTGTCTAAGTTAACAAACTATTTAAAAGATTATAGAGACACCTGAAAAACGCATCTTAAGTTTTTTAAATTGCTGTCTCCATGATACGCATCTGGTGTAGCCGTCAAAACACTATGCTAACAGGGAAACGGAATGTTTAGTGAAAGCGACACTGATGACCTGTTAAATTTAAGCAGCGAGTTACTGTGTTATTATACTGAACAAAAATATAAACGTAATGTGAAACAATTTCAAAGATTTAGCTGAGTTACAGTTGATATAAGGAAATCAGTCACTTGAAATAAATTAATTAGGCCCTAATCTATGGATTTCACATGACTGGGCAGGGGCACAGCCATGGATGGGCCTGGGAGGAAATAGGCCCACCCACTTGGGAGCCAGGCCCACCCAATGGGGAGCCAAGCCTAGCCAATCAGAATTAGTTTTTCCCAACAAAAGGGCTTTATTACAGACAGAAATACTCCTCATCACCCCGCCCTCCCCTCAGATGATCCCGCAAGTGAAGAAGGTAGATGTGGAGGTCCTGGGCTGGCGTGGTTACACGTGGTCTGCGGTTGTGAGGCCGGTTGGACGTACTGCCAAATTCTATAAAATGACGTTGGAGGTGGCTTAGCTTGGAAATGAACATTGAATTCTCTGGCAACAGCTCTGGTGGACATTCCTGCAGTCATGACAATTGCACTCTCCCTCAAAACATGAGATATCTGTGGCATTGTGCTGTGTGACAAAACTGCACATTTCAGAGTGGCCTTTTATTGTCCTCAGCACAAGGTGCACCTGTGTAATGATCATGCTGTTTATTCAGCTTCTTGATATGCCACACCTGTCAGGTGGATGGATTATCTTGACAAATGCTAAAATGCTCACTAACAGAGATGTAAACAAATTTGTGCACAACATTTTAGAGGAATAAGCTTTTTGTGTGTATGGAAAATTTCTGCTTTCTTTTATTCCAGCTAATGAAACATGGGACCAATACATTACATGTTGCGTTTATATTTCTGTTCAACGTAGGATTTTTGTGATTTTTTAAAAGTGTAAGTATGATGTAATTAAAGTACTTCTTATCCAATCAGAATAATCGGTTCCACCCCTAAAATCAATGTCATTTGGCGTAGCCTGCCATTTAACATACAATTTTTTATGATCTAATATTTCAGTATGGCCATGGTCCGATTGGGGTGTGGGCCCATAAAGATATAATACACTATTTACAGTGCATTCTGAAAGTATTCAGACCTCGACTTTTTCCACATTTTGTTACAACCTTATTCTAAAATGAATAAAACTATATTTACCCCCCTCATCACTCTACACACAATACCCCATAATGACAAAGCGAAAACAGGTTTTTAGAAAATGTTGCAACTTTATGCAAAATAAATACCTGAAATACCATATTCACGTAAGTATTCAGACCCTTTGCTATGAGACTCGAAATTGAGCTCAGGTGCATCCTGTTTCCATTGATCATCCTTGAGCTGTTTTTACAACTTGATTGAAGTCCACTTGTGGTTAAATTCAATTGATTGGACATGATTTGGAAAGGCACAAACCTGTCTATATAATGTCCCACAGTTGACAGTGCATGTCATAGCAAAGACCAAGCCAAGAGGACGAAGGAATTGTCCGCAGAGCCTTGAGAAAGGATTGGGTCGAGGCACAGATCTGGGGAAGGGTACCAAAATATTTCTGCAGCATTGAAGGTCCCCAAGAACACAGTGGCCCCCATCATTCTTAAATGGAATAAGTTTGGAACCACCAAGACTCTTCCTAGAGCTGGCTGCCCAGCCAAACAGCAATCGGGGGAGAAGAGCCTTGGTCAGGGAGTTGACCAAGAACCCGATGGTCACTCTGACAGAGCTCCAGAGATCCTCTGTGGAGATGGGAGAACCTTCCAGAACGACAACCATCTCTGCAGAACTCCACCAATCGGGCCTTTATGGTAGAGTGGCCAGACGGAAGCCACTCCTCAGTAAAAGGCACATGACAGCCCGCTTGGAGTTTGCCAAAAGGCACCTCAGACCATGAGAAACAATGGTCTCTGATCTGATGAAACCAAGATTGAACTCTTTGGCCTGAATGCCAAGCGTCACATCTGGGGGAAACCTGGCACCATCCCTACGGTGAAGCATGGTGGTGGCAGCATCATGCTGTGGGGATGTTTTTCAGTGGCAGGGACTGGGAGACTAGTCAGGATCGATGGAAAGATTAACGGAGCAAAGTACTGCGTGATCCTTGATGAAAACTGCTCCAGAGCGCTCAGCACCTCAGACTGTGGTGTAGGTTCACCTTCCAACAGGACAACGACCCTAAGCACACAGCAAAGACAACGCAGGAAGGGCTTCGGGACAAGTCTCTGAATGTCCTTGAGTGGCAAAGCCAGAGCCCGGATTTGAACCTGATCAAACATCTCTGGAGAGACCTGAAAATAGCTGTACAGCGATGCTTCCCATCCAACCTGCCAGAGCTTGAGAGGATCTGAAGAGAAGAATGGGAGGAACTCCGCAAATACAGGTGTGCCAAGCTTGTAGCGTCATACCCAAGAAGACTCGAGGCTGTAATCGCTGCCAAAGGTGCTTCAACAAAGTACTGAGTAAAGGGTCTGAATACTTATGTAATTTTGATATTTCCGTTTTTTTTAAAACCTGTTCTTGCTTTGTCATTATGGGGTATTGTGTGTAGATTGATGACGGGGAAAAATAAACTATTTCATTAATTTTAAAATAAGGCTGTAACATAAAATGTGGAAAGAGTCAAGGGGTCTGAATATTTTCCGAAGGGACTGTATGAAACACTATACATTGTCTTCAGAAGGTATTCAAACCCCTTGACTCTTTCCACATTTTGTGTTACAGCCTGAATTAAAAATTAATTAAATTGAGATTTGTCACTGGCCTACACACAATACCCTATAAGTGGAATTATGATTTTCAAAATGTTTACAAGTTAATTAAAAATGAAAAGCTGAAATGTCTTGATTCATTAAGTATTCAACCCCTTTGTTATGGCAAGCCTAAATAAGTTCAGGAGTAACAATGTGCTTAACAAGTCACATCATAAGTTGCATGGACTGTGTGCAATAATAGTGTTTAACATGATTTTTAAATGACTACCTCATCTCTGTACCCCATACATACAAATAATTGTAAGATCAAGCAGCGAATTTCAAACACAGATTCAACCACAAAGACAAGGGAGGTTTTCCAATACCTCACAAAGGGCACCTATTGGTAGATGGGTAAAAATTATATTGAATATACCTTTGAGCATGGTGAAGTTATTAATTACACTTTGGATGGTGTATCAATACTGATCCAGACTAAAAACAATCTTTGTCACCCGAGAGGCGTCCTGTTCTTTCGACCAATTGGTCAAAATGTTTAAACTTATTTTTCCATATATAGACAGACAAACTTTGTGTTTGAATAAAATCAACTACATACAGTGCATTCGGAAATACTTTTTCCACTTTGTTCCGTTACAGCCTTATTCTAAAATTAATTAAATCGTTTTCCCCCCCTCATCAATCTACACACAATACTCCATAATGACAAAGCAAAAACTGGTTTTTAGAAATGTTTGCAAGTTTATAAAAAAACTGAATTATCACATTAACATAAGTATTCAGACCCTTTCCTCAGTACTTTGTTGAAGCACCTTTGGCAGCGATTACAGCCTTGAGTCTTCTTGGGTATGACGCTACAAGCTTGGCACACCTGTATTTGCGGAGTTCCTCCAATTCCTCTATGCAGATCGTCTCAAGCTCAGTCAGGTTGGATGGGAAGCGTTGCTGCACAGCTATTTTAAGCTCTCTCCAGAGATGTTCGATCAGGTTCAAGTCCGGGCTCTGGCTGGGACACTCAAGGACATTCAGAGACTTGTCCCGAAGCCACTCCTGCTGTGTGCTTAGGGTCGTTGTCCTGTTGGAAGATGAACCGTCGCCCCAGTCTGAGGTCCTGAGCACTCTGGAGCAGGTTTTCATCAAGGATCTCTCTGTACCTTGCTCCGTTCATCTTTCCCTCGATCCTGACCAGTCTCCCAGTCAATGCCGCTGAAAAACATCCCCACAGCATGATGCTGCCACCACCATGCTTCACCGTAGAGATGGTCCCAGGTTTCCTCTAGACGTGACGCTTGGCATTCAGGCCAAAGAGTTCAATCTTGGTTTCATCAGACCAGAAAACCTTGTTTATCATGGTCTGAGGTGCCTTTTGGCAAACTCCAAGTGGGCTATCATGTGGCTTTTACTGATGAGTGGCTTCTGTCTGGACATTAACATAAAGGCCTGATTGGTGGAGTTCTGCAGAGATGGCTGTCTTTCTGGAAGGTTCTCCCGTCTCTAAAGAGGAACTCTGGAGCTCTGTCAGAGTGACCCTCTGGTTCTTGGTCACCTCTCTGACCAAGGCCCTTAACCCCCGATTGCTCAGTTTGGCCAGGCGGCCAGCTCTAGGAAGAGTCTTTGTGGTTCCAAACTTCTTCCATTTAAGAATGTCCAATCAATTGAATTTAACCACAGGTGGACTCCAATCAAGTTGTAGAAACATCTCAAGGATCATCAATGGAAACAGGATGCACCTGAGCTCAATTTCGAGTCTCATAGCAAAGGGTCTGAATACATACGTAAATAAGGTATGTTTTTTATTTTTAATACATTTGCAAACATTTCGAAAAACGTATTTTCGCTTTGTCATTAGGGGGTTTGATTGTGTAGATTGAGGAAAACAAATAATTGTATCAATTTTAGAATAAGGCTGTAACGTAACAAAATGTGGAAAAAGGGAAGTCGTCTGAATACTTTCCGAATACACTGAGCTGATGCTATAGGCACACTGTTTGATTAAATAATTAAGACAGTAATGACTCAAGAAAGAGCCCAATGGTCACACTGTGTTAAAAAAAAAGTGCCTGTGTGTCTAGCTCCATACTGCAGCAAAAAGGCACCACACCACAGCACTGTTTATTTATTTATTGCTCTGTTCATGCTGAAGCTGCAACATAATTTCTTACTTGTTTCTGACTGAAAAGTTCTGTTACCGAAATCCCTCATTTGTTTAGGAAAAACATTCCCTATTCCCTCAACCCTTGCTCTATTTACGTGAAACATGTAAGCATAGCATGCTTTTGACCAATAGGGCCTGACCTATAGCCTATCACATCAATAAATTGTTATAAACTCAGAACACAGTAATGTCGACAGCAAAATGGATGCGGAGGATGTGAAAAAGAAACGGGCAAATGTTTACTGGTTGCTCAGGAGGGAAAGGGGAAGTCAGATCTGTGGAAGACATTTGACTTAGCTGTGGAAACTACTGGAGATCAAGAAAAAGGAGGGTATTACATTTTACATTTACGTCATTTAGCAGACGCGCTTATCCAGAGCGACTTACAGGAGCAATAGGAGCAAGTGTTGCGTAAGTATTATGTGTGCCAAACAGTTGCTGTTAGATTACAATATTATACTTTTTCTGACCATTAGGTATAAGTGTACCAGGGAGTCTGTTCTAAAAATAATAATATACAGTTGAAGTCGGAAGTTTACATACACATTAGCCAAATACATTTAAACTCAGTTTTTCACAATTCCTGACATTTAATCCTAGTAAGAATTCCCTGTTTTAGGTCAGTTAGGATCACCACTTTATTTTAAGAATGTGAAATGTCAGAATAATAGTAGAGAGAATTATTTATTTCAGCTTTTATTTCTTTCATCACATTCCCAGTGGGTCAGAAGTTTACATACACTCAATTAGTATTTGGTAGCATTGCCTTTAAATTGTTTAACTTGGTTCAAAATGTTTCAGGTAGCCTTCCACTAGCTTCCCACAATAAGTTGGGTGAATTTTGGCCCATTCCTCCTGACAGAGCTGGTGTAACTGAGTCAGGTTTGCAGGCCTCCTTGCTCGCACACGCTTTTTCAGTTCTGCCCACAAATGTTCTATAGGATGAGGTCCGGGCTTTGTGATGGCCACTCCAATACCTTGACTTTGTTGTCCTTAAGCCATTTTTCCACAATTTAGGAAGTATGCTTGGGGTCATTGTCCATTTGGAAGACCCATTTGCGACCAAGGTTTAAACTTCCTGACTGATGTCTTGAGATGTTGCTTCAATATATCCACATAATTTTCCTTCCTCATGATGCCATCTATTTTGTGAAGTGCACCAGTACCTCCTGCAGCAAAGCATCCCCACAGCATGATGCTGCCACCCCTGTGCTTCACGGTTGGGATGGTGTCTTCGGCTTACAATTTCCCCCTTTTTCCTCCAATCATAACGATGGTCATTATGGCCAAACAGTTATATTTGTGTTTCATCAGACCAGAGGACATTTCTCCAAAAAGTACAATCTTTGTCCCCATGTGCAGTTGCAAACCGTAGTCTGGCTTTTTTATGGCGGATTTGGAGCAGTGGCTTCTTCCTTGCTGAGCGGCCTTACAGGTTATGTCGATATAGGACTTGTTTTACTGTGGATATAGATACTTTTGTACCTGTTTCCTCCAGCATCTTCACAAGGTCCTTTGCTGTTATGGGATTGATTTGCACTTTTCGCACCAAAGTACGTTCATCTCTAGGAGACAGAACGCGTCCCCTTCCTGAGCGGTATGACGGCTGCGTGGTCCCATGGTGTTTATACTTGCATACTATTGTTTGTACAGATGAACGTGGTACCTTCAGGCTTTTGGAAATTGCTCCCAGGGATGAACCAGACTTGTGGAGGTCTTGGCTGATTTCTTTAGATTTTCCCATGATGTCAAGCAAAGAGGCACTGAGTTTGAAGGTAGGCCTTGAAATACATCCACAGGTACACCTCCAATTGACTCAAATGATGTCAATTAGCCTATCAGAAGCTTCTAAAGCCATGACATCATTTTCTGGAATTTTCCAAGCTGTACAAAAGGCACAGTCAACTTAGTGTATGTAAACTTCTGACCCACTGGAATTGTGATTCAGTGAATTAAGTCAAATAATCTGTCTGTAAACAATTGTTGGAAAAAATACTTGTGTCATGCACAAAATAGATGACCTAACCGACTTACCAGTGGTTGAAAAACGAGTTTTAATGACTCCAACCTAAGTGTATGTAAACTTCCGACTTCAACTGTATAAAGCCTTTATTACAGCGGACTAAAAAGAGTTGCATGCATTTGTGAATTGCGGTTTATTTATTGTTTAGGCTAATTATTCAAAGCTTCCTTTGTTATTTAATTTTTAAACTAAAATGCTTGATTGCATTTCAAAACATAAATGTCCCGTATGCTGTGTGATGGCATGAACGAATTAATTCATGAATGATTGATTGATACAGTAGCCTATATAGTAATATATAGGCCTCAGTAAGTTACGGTATTAAGATTAAACAGGACACCCTCTTAGGCCTACAGCTCGATGGTGGCTATACAAGGCTACTATACAAAGCCTACTAATGATAACATTACTTATTTTATTATAATGATGATCATAATAACAATTGTAAATATAACAAGAAGAAGGAGAGCAAGAAAAATGAGATGATAGGAGCGAGGTGTCTCGTGCACCATGAAAGAAAGAAAAAAACATTGTGACTGCACGACTAAAGAAATCTCGGTTGACCAACAGCCTATCAACCAAACAATCGACCAGTCGACTAAATGGGGTCTGCCCTAATCAATACACCCACTCACTACAAAGATAAAGGCGTCCTTCTTAACTCCATTGCCAGAAAGGAAGGAAACTGCTCAGGGATTTCACCATGAGGCCAATGGCGACTTTAAAACAGTTAGAGTTCAATGGCTGTGATAGGAGAAAGCTGAGGATGGATCAACAACATTGTAGTTACATTACTCCACAATACTAACCTAATTGACAGAGTGAAATTAAGGAGCCTGTACAGAATAACAATATTGCAAAACATGCATCCTGTTTGCAACAAGGCATTTAAGTAATACTGCAATAAATGTGGCAAAGCAATTAACATTTTGTCCTGAGTACCTACCACTCTCCATATTTTCAAGCATAGTGGTGGCTGCATCATTTTTTTTATTTTATTAATTTTTTTAGTCATTTAGCAGACGCTCTTATCCAGAGCGACTTACAGTTAGTGAGTGCATACATTAGTTTTTATTTTTCATACTGGCCCCCCTTGGGAATCGAACCCACAACCCTGGCGTTTGCTCTACCAACTGAGCTACATCCCTGTCGGCCATTCCCTCCCCTACCCTGGACGACGCTGGGCCAATTGTGCGCCGCCCCATGGGTCTCCCGGTCGCGTTATGGGTATGCTTGTAATCGTTAAGGACTGGGGAGATTTTCAGGATAAAAAAAGCAATGGAATGGAGCCAAACACACTAGAGGAAAACCTGGTTCAGTCTGCTTTCCACCAGACACTGGAAGACTAATTTACCTTTCAGCAGGATAATAACCTAAAACACAAGGCCAAATCTACACTGGAGGTGCTTACCAAGAAGACAGTTGCCGAGTTACAGTTTTGACTTAAATCTGCTTGAAAATCTATGGCAAGACCTGAAAATGGTTGTCTAGCAATGATCAACAACCAATTTCACAGAGCTTGAAGAATGTTGAAAATAATAAAATGGGCAAATGTTGCACAATCCAGGTGTGGAAAGCTCTTAGACTTACCCAGAAAGACTCACAGCTGTAATCGCTGCCAAATGTGATTCTAACATGTATTGACTCGGGGGGGGGGGGGGGGGGGGTTGAATACTTTTTCAATGAAGATTTACAAAATGTTTGAATCTTTCTTCCACTTTGACAGAGTATTTTGTGTAGATCGTTGAAAAAAAAAAGACAACTAAATCCATTTTAATCCCACTTTGTAACAACAAATGTGGAAAAAGTCAAGGGGTGTGAATACTTTCTGAAGGCACTGTATACCGTATGTGTTCTATTTAATTCCATGTGTGGGCCTACCTCTCGTCTAGTTCCTGCAGCTGGCTCTTGACGGTATGCGCGTTGTTCTCCCTTGTCAGCCTCTGTAGCAGGAAGAAGGTCTGCTGAAACATCCTCAGCAGGTACTCCTCAAAGTCCAGCGGCACACAGTTCTTGGACACCAGCTCATTGATGCATGTCATGGCCAGCACTCCCAGCCGCGACCTGTCCGCCTGCCCGCCGCTGCCTCCTCCCGTCTGATGCCCGGGCCGACCTCCGCCATTGGTAGGGGGAGCATGCTCACCATTGGACGAGGACGACGAGTAGATGGAAGGGGCCTTGGGCTTGACCCGCAGGTCACAGCCAAAACGGGCAAAGTGGAAGATAGAAGCGAGGAGGGAAGGGGTGATGCTGGTAGAAAGGGGGATCCAGCTGAATAGATGGGCCAGACACTCCAGAGCTAGGGAGCACAACTGTTCACTGTCATTGTCCAGTGCTGGGATGGGCTGGGATAGCAGCTTGGAGTACTGGGTGCCTTGCAATAGACTGCCCAGCAACTCTGCTTAAAGGGAAGGGGGACGAGGGCAAATGAGTGGCTGGGTTAACATAATCTCTCCCAGTCCTGCTCCCTCTCTCATATACACACACATTGTCATACAACCTTCACAAACACACTTAGCACAGTTGTCTCCTCTCCTCCCCAATTGTTCACTACCCTTGTAGATCTGAGATGACTGGGTGGGTGAAAGCAGTAGCATCGCCTACTTACAGCCAGTCTATCCAATCTAAATCAGATCCGTGAAGGGTGTGAACAACTTTCTGGAAGGAAAAGTGGCCCCTGATTTACAGCACACATTCTCACCGCTTTCTCCTGAGGTGGGAGAGGGAGGGGGGGTGGCAGCCGTAACACTGTGCTTATCCCAAATCGTCTCCAGGATACCTGCAGGGTAGAAATGTAGAGACAAGTGTTATTATGGATGTGCGCATATCACACCATTAGAACCCACAGAACAGAGTGAGCGGGGAGGGAGAAGAGGGGGGATAGTATACAGTGGGGAAAAAAGTATTTAGTCAGCCACCAATTCTGCAAGTTCTCCCACTTAAAAAGATGAGAGAGGCCTGTAATTTTCATAATAGGTACACGTCAACTATGACAGACAAAATGAGGAAAAAAAATCCAGAAAATCACATTGTAGTATTTTTAATGAATTTATTTGCAAATTATGGTGGAAAATAAGTATTTGGTCAATAACAAAAGTTTCTCAATACTTTGTTATATACCCTTTGTTGGCAATGACACAGGTCAAACGTTTTCTGTAAGTCTTCACAAGGTTTTCACACACTGTTGCTGGTATTTTGGCCCATTCCTCCATGCAGATCTCCTCTAGAGCAGTGATGTTTTGGGGCTGTCGCTGGGCAACACGGACTTTCAACTCCCTCCAAAGATTTTCTATGGGGTTGAGATCTGGAGACTGGCTAGGCCACTCCAGGACCTTGAAATGCCTCTTACGAAGCCACTCCTTCGTTGCCCGGGCGGTGTGTTTGGGATCATTGTCATGCTGAAAGACCCAGCCACGTTTCATCTTCAATGCCCTTGCTGATGGAAGGAGGTTTTCACTCAAAATCTCACGATACATGGCCCCATTCATTCTTTCCTTTACACGGATCAGTCGTCCTGGTCCCTGTGCAGAAAAACAGCCCCAAAGCATGATGTTTCCACCCCCATGCTTCACAGTAGGTATGGTGTTCTGTGGATGCAACTCACCATTCTTTGTCCTCCAAACACGACGAGTTGAGTTTTTACCAAAAAGTTATATTTTGGTTTCATCTGACCATATGACATTCTCCCAATCCTCTTCTGGATCATCCAAATGCACTCTAGCAAACTTCAGACGGGCCTGGACATGTACTGGCTTAAGCAGGGGGACACGTCTTGCACTGCAGGATTTGAGTCCCTGGCGGCGTAGTGTGTTACTGATGGTAGGCTTCGTTACTTTGGTCCCAGCTCTCTGCAGGTCATTCACTAGGTCCCCCCGTGTGGTTCTGGGATTTTTGCTCACCGTTCTTGTGATCATTTTGACCCCACGGGGTGAGATCTTGCGTGGAGCCCCAGATCGAGGGAGATTATCAGTGGTCTTGTATGTCTTCCATTTCCTAATAATTGCTCCCACAGTTGATTTATTCAAACCAAGCTGCTTACCTATTGCAGATTCAGTCTTCCCAGCCTGGTGCAGGTCTACAATTTTGTTTCTGGTGTCCTTTGACAGCTCTTTGGTCTTGGCCATAGTGGAGTTTGGAGTGTGACTGTTTGAGGTTGTGGACAGGTGTCTTTTATACTGATAACAAGTTCAAACAGGTGCCATTAATACAGGTAATGAAGTTACAGGTCTGTGAGAGCCAGAAATCTTGCTTGTTTGTAGGTGACCAAATACTTATTTTCCACCATAATTTGCAAATAAATTCATTAAAAATCCTACAATGAGATTTTCTGGATTTTTTTCCCTCAATTTGTCTGTCATAGTTGACGTGTACCTATGATGAAAATTACAGGCCTCTCATCATTTTAAGTGGGAGAACTTGCACAATTGGTGGCTGACTAAATACTTTTTTCCCCCACTGTAGATGACTGGAGCAAAATTAGTGGAATGGTATCGAATACAGTATGTAATGGGGAAATGATACACACTAACAATTAAACGCAAACAATTCACACAATGAAGTTATGAAATAATTAACGTGCACAAATTGGCGGGAGAGAGCGCATTCTGGAGAGAGAAGTGCATTGTGCATCTGGGCGCTGCATGGTCAATTCGACGTCTGCATTGGCCATGCAGCATTTACAGTGATACGGTCTCTGCAAAAGTCAGGGCATTCATACTTCTTGCGCTTCACGGAGCAGTGCAGAGCTGTTGTGAAAGATGTTGTCAAGGAAGTGAGTTTGTGTTCATACAGGATGTACCGGCCCCACCTACCGTCAACCGATCATGTCAATGCGGAGCTATACAGAGCCCTCCGCATTGTTACAACACTTGGGAGGCGCATGGAGATGCGGTATGGAGCTCGATTTGGCCTCATCATGCCTACGGAGGCTCCGCAATTGCGTCACACCCTCCATATGGAGCCACCGACCACATTTCGGATCAAGCATAAATTGGCTTTTAGTCTATGCCTCCGCAATGGATTAGTTGACTGAGATGAGCGCATTTAAAAAAAATATACAGTACCAGTCAAAAGTTTGGACAACTACTCATTCAAGGGTTTTTCTTTATTTGTACCATTTTCTACATTGTAGAATAATAGTGAAGACATCAAAACTATGAAATAACACACATGGAATCATGTAGTAACCAAAAAAGTGTTAAACAAATCAAAATGTATTTTATATCTGAGATTCTTCAAAGTAGCCACCCTTTGCCTTGATGACAGCTTTGCACACTCCTGGCATTCTCTCAACCAGCTTGATGAGGTAGTCACCTGGAATGCATTGTAAAAGTTAATTTGTGGAATTTCTTTCCTTCTTAATACGTTTGAGCCAATCAGTTGTGTTGTTGGTCTAAGGCACTGCATCGCAGTGCTAGCTGTGCCACTAGAGATCCTGGTTCGAATCCAGGCTCTGTCGTAGCCGGCCGCGACCGGGAGACCCATGGGGCGGCGCACAATTGGCCCAGCGTCGTCCAGGGTAGGTGAGGGAATGGCCGGCAGGGATGTAGCTTAGTTGGTAGAGCATGGCGTTTGCAACGCCAGGGTTGTTGGTTTGATTCCCATGGGGGGCCAATATGAAAAAATAAAAAATAATGTATGCACTCACTAACTAAGTCGCTCTGGATAAGAGCGTCTGCTTAATGACGTAAAATGTAAATAGGGGGGTATACAGAAGATAGCCCTATTTGGTAAAAGACCAAGTCCATATTATGGCAAGAACAGCTCAAATAAGCAAAGAGAAACGACAGTCCATCATTACTTTAAGACATGAAGGTCAGTCACTCCGTGAAAGTTTCTTCAAGTGCAGTCGCAAAAACCATCAAGCGCTATGATGAAACTGGCCCTCATGAGGACCACCACAGGAAAGGAAGACCCAGAGTTACCTCTGCTGCAGAGGATAAGTTCATTAGAGTTACCAGCCTCAGAAATTGCAGCCCAAATAAATGCTTCACAGAGTTCAAGTCACAGACACATCAACATCAACTGTTCAGAGGATACCGCGTGGATCAGGCCTTCATGGTCGAATTGCTGCAAAGAAACCACTACAAAAAGGACATCAATAATAAGAAGAGACTTGCTTTGGCCAAGAAACACGAGCAATGGACAAATCTGTCCTTTGGTCTGATGAGTCCAAATTTGAGATTCTTGGTTCAAACCGCCATGTCTTTGTGAGACGCAGAGTAGGTGAATGGATGATCTCCGCATGTGTGGTTCCCACCGTGAAGCATGGAGGAGGTGGTGGGATGGTGTGGGGGTGCTTTGCTGGTGACACTGCTGGTGATTTATTTAGAATTCAAGAAACACTTAACCAGCATGGCTACCACATCATTCTGCAGCGATACGCCATACCAACTGGTTTGCGCTTTTTATCTACATAGAAAATTCTTAGGTGGGCCGTCTAAGTGGTAATTTTCCGGATGGAAAAACTGTTTCAGTGTCAACTTAAACCACCAAAACCAGATAGAAAGCATGCAGACAGTTAGGATCACCACTTTATTTTAAGAATGTGAAATGTCAGAATAATAGTAGAGAGAATGATTTATTTCAGCTTTATTTATTCCATTACACTCCCAGTGGGTCAGAAGTTTACATACACTCAATTAGTATTTGGTAGCATTGCCTTTAAATTGTTTAACTTGGTTCAAAATGTTTCAGGTAGCCTTCCACTAGCTTCCCACAATAAGTTGGGTGAATTTTGGCCCATTCCTCCTGACAGAGCTGGTGTAACTGAGTCAGGTTTGTAGGCCTCCTTGCTCGCACACACCTTTTCAGTTCTGCCCACAAATGTTCTATAGGATTGAGGTCAGGGCTTTGTGATGGCCACTCCAATACCTTGACTTTGTTGTCCTTAAGCCATTTTGCCACAACTTTGGAAGTATGCTTGGGGTCATTGTCCATTTGGAAGACCCATTTGCGACCAAGCTTTAACTTCCTGACTGATGTCTTGAGATGTTGCTTCAATATATCCACATTATTTTCCTTCCACATGATGCCATCTATTTTGTGAAGTGCACCAGTCCCTCCTGCAGCAAAGCACCCCCACAGCATGATGCTGCCACCCCCGTGCTTCAAAGTTGGGATGGTGTTCTTCTGCGTTTTTTATGGTGGTTTTGGAGCAGTGGCTTCTTCCTTGCTGAGCGGCCTTTCAGGTTATGTCGATATAGGACTCGTTTTAGTGTGGATATAGATACGTTGTACCCGTTTCCTCCAGCATCTTCACAAGGTCCTTTGCTGTTGTTCTGGGATTGATTTGCACTTTTCGCACCAAAGTACGTTAATCTCTAGGAGACAGAACGCGTCTCCTTCCTGAGCGGTATGACGGCTGCGTGGTCCCATGGTGTTCATACTTGCGTCCTATTGTTTGTACAGATGAACGTGGTACCTTCAGGCGTTTGGAAATTGCTCCCAAGGATGAACCAGACTTGTGGGGGTCTACAATTTTTTTTTCTTTTTTTTTCTCCATGATGTCAAGCAAAGAGGCACTGAGTTTTCAAGGTAGGCCTTGAAATACATCCACAGGTACAACTCCAATTGACTCAAATTATGTCAATTAGCCTATCAGAAGCTTCTAAAGCCATCATATTCTGGAATTTTCCAAGCTGTTTAAAGGCACAGTCAACTTAGTGTATGTAAACTTCTGACCCACTGGAATTGTGATACAGTGAATTATAAGTGAAATAATCAGTCTGTAAACAATTGTTGGAAAAAGTACTTGTGTCATGCACAAAGTAGATGTCCTAACCGACTTGCCAAAACATTAGTTTGTTAACAAGAAACTTGTGGAGTGGTTGAAAAACAAGTTAATGACTCAAGTGTATGTAAACTTCCGACTTCAACTGTATATATATATATATATTTTATAATACCACTGACAACTAACAATCAAATAAAAGCTAGAGTCAGGGAGAATATACAATTTTAAAAAACGGGCATTCAGGGCACATGCCCATTGCTTTTGTTATAATGTTTGAGCAGAGTTACATACCCTAGCTCAAGACCAAAAATGCAGAAACAAAAAAGTAGAATAAAATCATTCCAATCCCGATTAAAATCCAACAGCTGTTTAGCATATTGAATGGCTGGCTTTAGGACCATGCTGAGCATCGCTTGGGGAGAAGCTGCCTGCCTGCACCACTTTCTCTCACAAAAGAGCAGAGACAAAGTTTGCTTTGCCAGTCAGCCGTTTAGGTAGTGCGCCGATTGCTTTGAATTTGATGTCGGCATTTGAACTTGGCCTCGTAAGCCTCATGGCCAACTGTTTTATGGACCGGTTACTTTCACATTGATGTCGGCATAGGCTAGGGGTAAATTGAATTTGCCAAAATTAGCTATTAATTACTCGTGCCTATACATAAATATAAATAATTCAAAATACTTACCCAGAGAGCATGATTTGGCCACAGAGGATCATTAGATTCTTTTAAAAATTAGCTGTGGATTGTTTTAGGATCGCAATTTGGGCAGCGCGTCCGGCAAATAGCCAACCAAATAGCTGATTGTTGAGTTGCAGCGGTGAGTGAAAAGCAGTTAAATAGGCCTATAGCAAAATTTCTAAATACACTGCTTAAAAAAATAAAGGGAACACTAACATAACACATCCTAGATCTGAATGAATGAAATAATCTTATTAAATCCTTTTTTCTTTACATAGTTGAATGTGCTGACAACAAATTCACACAAAAATTATCAATGGAAATCAAATTTATCAACCCATGGAGGTCTGGATTTGGAGTCACCCTCAAAATTAAAGTGGAAAACCACACTACAGGCTGATCCAACTTTGATGTAATGTCCTTAAAACAAGTCAAAATGAGGCTCAGTAGTGTGTGTGGCCTCCACGTGCCTGTATGACCTCCCTACAACGCCTGGGCATGCTCCTGATGAGGTGGCGGATGGTCTCCTGAGGGATCTCCTCCCAGACCTGGACTAAAGCATCCGCCAACTCCTGGACAGTCTGTGGTGCAACGTGGCGTTGGTGGATGGAGCGAGACATGATGTCCCAGATGTGCTCAATTGGATTCAGGTCTGGGGAACGGGCGGGCCAGTCCATAGCATCAATGCCTTCCTCTTGCAGGAACTGCTGACACACTCCAGCCACATGAGGTCTAGCATTGTCTTGCATTAGGAGGAACCCAGGGCCAACCACACCAGCATATGGTCTCACAAGGGGTCTGAGGATCTCATCTTGGAACCTAATGGCAGCCAGGCTACCTCTGGCGAGCACATGGAGGGCTGTGCGGCCCCCCAAAGAAATGCCACCCCACACCATGACTGACCCACCGCCAAACCGGTCATGCTGGAGGATGTTGTAGGCAGCAGAACGTTCTCCACGGCGTCTCCAGACTCTGTCACGTCTGTCACGTGCACAGTGTGAACCTGCTTTCATCTGTGAAGAGCACAGGGCGCCAGTGGCGAATTTGCCAATCTTGGTGTTCTCTGGCAAATGCCAAATGTCCTGCACGGTGTTGGGCTGTAAGCACAACCCCCACCTGTGGACGTCGGGCCCTCATACCACCCTCATGGAGTCTGTTTCTGACCGTTTGAGCAGACACAAGCACATTTGTGGCCTGCTGGAGGTCATTTTGCAGGGCTCTGGCAGTGCTCCTCCTGCTCCTCCTTGCACAAAGGCGGAGGTAGCAGTCCTGCTGTTGGGTTGTTGCCCTCCTACGGCCTCCTCCACGTCTCCTGATGTACTGGCCTGTCTCCTGGTAGCGCCTCCATGCTCTGGACACTACGCTGACAGACACAGCAAACCTTCTTGCCACAGCTCGCATTGATGTGCCATCCTGGATGAGCTGCACTACCTGAGCCACTTGTGTGGGTTGTAGACTCCGTCTCATGCTACCACTAGAGTGAAAGCACCGCCAGCATTCAAAAGTGACCAAAACATCAGCCAGGAAGCGTAGGAACTGAGAAGTGGTCTGTGGTCACCACCTGCAAAACCAGTCCTATATTGGGGGTGTCTTGCTAATTGCCTATAATTTCCACCTGTTGTCTATTCCATTTGCACAACAGCATGTGAAATGTATTGTCATTCAGTGTTGCTTCCTAAGTGGACAGTTTGATTTCACAGAAGTGTGATTGAGTTGGAGTTACATTGTGTTGTTTAAGTGTTCCCTTTGTTTTTTTGAGCAGTGTACAATCGTAGGACTAAAATAGTTTAGAAAGTAAATGGCTATTGCTGAAAAGAAAAGACAAAGAAAAGACTAACCTGTCTATAGTTATCAAATTGTTCAACTCCCAATTGACCTATATTACTGGCACCAGCGGAGAGCCATATCCCCTGTGAGTGTGCACATATTCACTGTCTTTATCATTCAAATCAGTACCACTATAACGTTTTTTTGGGGACAATAATGTCCTCCTTCAGGTTAGATGGATGTATTGTAAAATGTGTGTTTCTCCTTTTCGCAGGCCTAGATTAGATGGTTGCATTTAATACAAAGTCGTTTTTACTGATCTGTTTGTCAGTGTCAGCAGAGTAGGCTACTAACTTGTTGTATAAAGATAAAAATAAACTCATCTAGTACCGGGTCGGACCCCCCTTTGCCTCCAGAACAGCCTGAATTCTTCGGAGCATGGATGCTACAAGGTGTCAGAAATGTTCCACAGGGATGTTGATCCATGCTGACGCGACGGCTTAATGGAGTTGCTGCAGATTGGACGGCACATTCCATCTCATCCCAAAGATGCTCTATTGGGTTTGGTCAGCAACAATGTTCAGATACACTGTGGCATTCAATCGTAGCTAAATTGGCATCAAGTGACCTAACGTGTGACAGGAAAACATCATTCCTCACACCAGTACACCACCAGCCTGTACTGTTGACACCAGGCAGGATGGGTCCATGGACTCATGCTGCTTACGCCAAATCCTTACACTGCCATCAGCATGACCAGGCAATGTTTTTCCCGCACAACTGTTCAGTGTTGGTAATCGCGTGCCCACTGGAGCCGCTATTCTTGTTTTTAGCTGATAGAAGTGGAACCCAGTGTGGTCGTCTGCTGCAATAGTCCATCCGTGACAATGATTGACGTGTTCCGAGATGCCGTTCTGCGCCGTTATTTGTCTGTTTGTGGCCCGCCTGTTAGCTTGCACAATTCTTGCCATTCCCCTTTGACCTCTCTCATCAACTAGCCGTTTTCTCCAACAGGACTGTCGCTGACTGGATATTTGTTTGTTTGTCGCACCATTCTCGGTAAACCCTAGACACTATCGTGCATGAAAAGCCTGGTTGTTTCTGAGAAACTGTACACCTGGCACCGACGATCATACCACGCTCAAAGTCGCTTAGGTCACTAGTTTTACCCATTCGAACGTTCAATCGTACAGTAACTGAATGCCTCGATGCCTGTCTGCCTGTTTTATATAGCAAGCCATGGCCATGTGACTCACTATCTGTAGGAGCAATCCATTTGGTTGAACCTCATAAACTGGCCGGTGAGTTTGTTGCTTATGTTTCCAGTCATAGTGTATTAGAATTGCATGAAATGTGTTTATAAAATGCCACATTTTTCCCATGCAATGAAAGGAGTAGAACGGTCTCTGATTAGGCCTACTCAATCAATCAAATGTATTTATAAAGCCCTTTTTACATCAGCAGATGTCACAAAGTGCTATACAGAAACCCAGCCTAAAACCCCAAACAGCAAGCAATGCAGAATACTCTGTCCCTACGTGCTAAGGAAGGCATTGTTCAGAACTGTGTCTTGCTAACAGTGATTGAGTTAAATTAGTAGCCTAAATTATGACTATGCAATATACTCATCACATTAGGAATAGTAGCCTATATTACATTAGTCTGCAAATGCGATGATAGATGCATGTAATCTTTTATTATAAAGGTGCAATTTTATGGTGAAAAAATAGCTATGGATGTCAGCATTTGAAGTTTCACTGAACGTTTTACTGTTCCAAAAGTAAATGAGTCAATTTATTATATGTTTTAGTACCGGTTGACATTGTATATGCCGTTCCACAGACCTTTAAATCTTATATCGTGGTGATAACTAAATGTGTGGGGTCATTTTTGTTTGTTTTTGCTGTTCTCCAAATATCATTTTAGTTTTTTTTAACTGTGTAGAAATGCAGAAGGTGAGATTCAACTTCCCCACAACCCACTTTGCCATACCATTTAATTGTCATTTTATGTCAACAATCTACACAAAATACTCTGTCAAAGTGGAAGAAAAATTCGAACATTTGTGAGATAAAATAATAAAACAAAACACTAATATATCTTGATTAGATAAATATTCAACTCCCTGGGTCAAAACATGTTATAAATCACATTTGGCAGCGATTACAGCTGTGAGTCTTTCTGGGTAAATCTAAGAGTTTTCACACCTGGATTGCGCAACATTTGCCCATTATTCTTTTCAAAATTGTTCAAGCTTTGTCAAATTGGTTGTTAATCATTGCTAGACAACCATTTTCAGGTCTTTCCATAGATGATCAAGCAGATAAGTCAAAACTGTAACTCGGCCACTCAGGAACTTTCACGGTCTTCTTGGTAACAAATTCCAGTGTAGATTTGACCTTGTGTTTTAGGTTATTATCCTGCTGAAAGGTGAATTCATCTCCCAGTGACTGTTGGAAAGCAGATTGAACCAGGTTTTCCACTAGGAATTTGTCTGTGCTTAGTTCCATTCCGTTTCTTTTTTGTTCTGAAAAACTCTGCATAACAAGATGCAGCCACCACTATGCTTGAAATATTGTAGAATCGTACTCAGTAATGCGTTGTATTAGATTTTCCACAAACATAAAACTTTGTATTCAGGACAAAAAGTGAATTGCTTTGCCACATTTTTTGCAGTATTACTGTTGCGAACAGATGCATGTTTCGGAATATTTGTATTCTGAACAGGCTTCCTTCTTTCACTCTGTCAATTAGATTAATATTGTGGAGTAACTAATGTTGTTGATCCATCCTCAGTTTTCTCCTATCACAGCCATTAAACTAACTGTTTTAAAGTCACCATTGCCCTTATGGTGAAATCCCTGAGTGGTTTCCTTCCTCTGCGGCAACTGAGTTAGGAAGGACGTCTGTATCTTTGAAGTGACTGGGTGTATTTATACACCATCCAAAGTGTAATTAATAACTTCACCATGCTCAAAGGGATATTCAATGCCTGCTTTTTTTTTTTACCCATCTACCAATAGGTGCCCTTCTTTGCGAGGCATTGGAAAACCTCCCTGGTTTTTGTGGTTGAATCTGTTTGAAATGTACTGCTCGACTGAGGGACCTTACAGATAATTGTACGTGTGGGGTACAAAGATGAGGTAGTCATTCAAAAGTCATGTTAAACACTATTATTATTGCACACAGAGCGAGTCCATGCAACTTATTTTGTGACTTGTTAAACACATTTTTACTCCTGAACTTATTTAGGCTTGCCATAACAAAAAGGTGTTGAATACTTAGACTGAAGACATTTAAGCATTTCATTTTTTATTAATTTGTAAAAATTCCACTTTGACATGATGGGGTACTTTCTGAAGGCACTGTAACTGGAAGCATGCTATTGATAGAACCAAAGGATTATGTATTAGCAAGGATCACATCAAGCAAGGAGCATTTGAAATACACTGCAAAAAATAAATAAAATCTAAGTGCCATGGGAACAGACTGAGGTGTCAACACTTGTTAATGATAGCCAGCAAGAACTCATCTTCCTCTTGGACAAACGTGTTCAGTCAGCACAGACTGAACCCAAGAAAAGGTCAACTAATCCAACTGGCATTTAAGGGGGATCTTACAAGAAGATTTCAGGGAGAATGATCTATTACTCAGGAAGTTCAACAGAGCATGAAGGAGGCTGCAACTCTTCTGATTGAAGAAAATGGCGCCGGAGGAGATGGCTGCCGTTTTACGGACCCCTAACCAATTGTGCGATTGTATGTGTTTTTTCGCGTTATTTGTAATTTATTCTGTACATAATGTTTCTGCCACCAAAAAGAGCTTCTGGATATAAGGACAGCGATTACTCACCCCGTACTGGACGAAGATTTTTTCTTCAACGAGTCGGACGCGAAGGATATTCTACAGACACCCGACAAGGCCCAAATTCCCGTCACTCGCATGAGAAAGAGACGGAGATATCGTGGACGTTGGTCGGGGTGCTTTGTAAGGATCCGACAGCGAGCGAGTAAGCCGATGCTGGCACTAAGACTGCACTCAATGAGCTGTATAAGGCCATAAGCAAACAGGAAAACGCACATCGAGGCAGTGCCCCTAGTGGCCGGGGACTTTAATGCATGGTAACTTAAATCCATTCTACCTAATTTCTACCAGCATGTTAAAAGTGCAACCAGAGGAAAAAAACAACAACTTTAGACCACCTTTACTCCACACACAGAGACGCGTACAAAGCTCTCCCTCGCCCTACATTCACAAGGCCGCAGGGCCAGACGGATTACCAGGACGTGTACTCCGAGCATGCGCTGACCAACTGGCAAGTGTCTTCACTGACATTTTCAACATGTCCCTGACTGAGTCTGTAATACCAACATGTTTCAAGCAGATCACCATAGTCCCGGTGCCCAAGTACACTAAGATAACCTGTCTAAATGACTACCGACCCGTAGCACTGACGTCTGTAGCCATGAAGTGCTTTGAAAGGCTGGTCATGGCTCACAAACACCATTATCCCAGAAACCCTAGACCCACTCCAATTTGCATATCGTCCCTACAGATCCACAGATGATGCAATCTCTATTGCACTCCACACTGCCCTTTCCCACCTGGACAAGAGAAACACCTACGTGAGAATGCTATTCATTGACTACAGCTCAGCGTTCAACACCATAGTGCCCTCAAAGCTCATCACTAAGCTAAGGACCCTGGGACTAAACACCTCCCTCTGCAACTGGATCCTGGACTTCCTGACGGGCCGCCCCCAGGTGGTAAGGGTAGGTAACAACACATATGCCACGCTGATTCTCAACATGGGGGCCCCTCAATGTGTGCTCAGTTCCCTCCTGTACTCCCTGTTCACCCATGACTGCATGGCCAGGCACGACTCCAACACTATCATTAAGTTTGCCGACGACACAACAGTGGCAGGCCTGATCACCGACAATGATGAGACAGTCTATAGGGAGGAGGTCAGAGACCTGGCCGTGTGGTGCCAGGATAACAACCTCTCCCTCAACGTGAGCAAGACAAAGGAGATGATTGTGGACTACAGGAAAAAAAAAAAAGAGGACTGAGCACGCCCCCATTCTCATCGACAGGACTGTAGTGGAACAGGTTGAGAGCTTCAAGTTTCTTGGTGTCCACATCACCAACAAACTATCATGGTCCAAACACACCAAGACAGTCGTGAAGAGGGCCCGACAAAGCCTATTCCCCCTCAGGAGACTGAAAAGATTTGGCATGGGTCCTCAGATCCTCAAAAAGTTCTACAGCTGCACCATCGAGAGCATCCTGACTGGTTGCATCACTACCTGGTATGGCAACTGCTCGGCCTCCGACCGCAAGGCACTACAGAGGGTAGTGCGTACGGCCCAGTACATCACTGGGGCCAAGCATCCTGCCATCCAGGACCTCTATACCAGGCGGTGTCAGAGGAAGGCCCTAGTCATAGACTGTTCTCTCTGCTACCGCACGGCAAGCGGTACCGGAGCACCAAGTCTAGGTCCAAAAGGCTTATTAACAGCTTCTACCCCCAAGACATAAGACTCCTGAACAGCTAATCAAGGCTACCCAGACTATTTGCATTGTCTCCCCCACCCCCTCTTTTACGCTGCTGCTACTCTCTGTTTATTATCTATGTCACTTTAACTCTACCCACATGTACATATTACCTCAATTACCCTGTGCCACCGCACATTGACTCTGTACCGGTACCCCCTGTATATAGCCTCTCTACTGCCATTTTACTGCTGCTCTTTAATATATTTTTTAAACAATTTATTCTTAAAACTGCATTGTTGGTTAAGGGCTTGTAAGTAAACATTTCACTGTACGGTCTACACCTGTTGTATTCGGCGCATGTGGCAAATACAATTTGATTTGGTAAGAAACGATCTAACTGGTTGTGTTTGTTCAAAATCTTGGTGGTCAGAGGCGTCATTTTCAGCAAAAACCTAGGGTATGGAATGGCAAAATGACTTCTTTAGCCAGCCTGTTTTCATTGCCAAATCGGCCTTGCTTAGTGTGGTCAAAAGCATTCAACGATCTCGGCATTTGAACTTATGTTTATTGTTGTATAGCGTGATATAAGCAGAATTAAATATAATTCCAATGCAAGAACCCACATGACGCCCCTGGGTATAGCTACATGTTTCATCATGCTACTGCTTCTTGGTAGCGCATTGCTTTTCGTGATTGTAAATGAGAAATGTACGTACTGGAAATGTGTTAATGGTAGGCCAGCAATGCTTAATTGATTATGTGGGTGGGTCGAATTTGATGAACTCATGAGCTGCATAATTTTCCATGTTTGAAGTGGGCCTATAGGCCTATTGATAAGACCGCTGTGCATGGCTGCATCTCACTTTAGTAGGCTATGTTTTGGTAAATTCCATTTGCCTTTTGTTTACTGCGTTTGTTTACTGTTAATGTAAGTAGCATAAATAGCCTATAGTAGGCCTACCACTGTTTTGTTCTGTTCGCATTCATTCGTTCGCATTCGCAGTTGTGTCGGTATTCTAAGCCAATGGTCTCGGAGTTTCAGCATTTTAACTTTATGTTTGTGGTATAGCATGAAATTAGCAGAATTTAATATAATTCCAATTCCCCCAAAATTGTGCCCCCTAACCGATTTCAACTGCCCCTTTGTCACTTTATCCTGACGCCGGGTCTGTCTGCTTGGCTTGGTAAGTAACATTTACATTTACATTTTAGTCATTTAGCAGACGCTCTTATCCAGAGCGACTTACAGTTAGTGAATACATATTTTTTTATACTGGCCCCCCGTGGGAAACGAACCCACAACCCTGGCGTTGCAAACGCCATGCTCTATCAACTGAGCTACATCCCTGCCGGCCATTCCCTCCCCTACCCTGGACGACGCTGGGCCAATTGTGCGCCGCCCATGAGTCTCCCGGTCGCGGCCGGCTGCGACAGAGCCTGGATTCGAACCAGGATCTCTAGTGGCACAGTTAGCACTGCGATGCAGTGCCTTAGACCACTGCGCCACATCAACCAAATTGACGATTTCTACCCTCTTTGCATCAAATATGTATTCTGCTAAAACAAGTTAATAGAAAAAACGTTCATGGTGACAGCACTTCAAACAGCGGCCCAAAAAAGTAAAGACCCCCCCCCCCCAAGCTTTTGCACCTCCACTTTCAGACAAAGTCAGGCACCCATGATGGTTGTCACTAGTTACCACAGCCACAAAGTCATAAACCCTGCCTACTTCTACAATTTCTCTTCTTAAAATTTTATTTTAAAAACGTTAACCTTAATCACACTGCTAACCTTATGCCTAACCCTAAATCCTATGCAAAAAGCTAACCCCCCCAAAAAAATATTGACTTCGCGGCTGTGGTGACGGGGACTTGCTCTATGCTGGCTAATTAAGTTAAAGGGATACTTCATATTTATGTCTCTGCATCCAGTAAAAAGGAAGTTGCTAACTAGTGTTAGCGAAATTGCTTACTAGCATTAGCGCAATTACTGGAAGTCTATGGTATCTACTAGCATGCAGTCATTGCGCTAGTTAGCAATTGCGCGAACGCTGGTTAGCAACTTCCTTCAAACTGCACCCAGAGACATAAAAATGGTATCCACGAGTTCATCTGACCCTGGGGAAGTAGATACATGGCTTCATTGCCAAAATCCCGAAGAATCCCTTTAACATTAGGTTAGTGAACAATGTCAATGCGTTTTATAGAGAAAGCCATACTGCTTTAGCCATGGTACATTCTACTCAATTTTGGTTGACTAACATAAGAGCAGCCTAGTTTAATTTCTAAACTTTCGCCATCCGTGCCAAGTGGTGCCAACGTGCATGAACACTGGGAGCTGCTCCGCTTGGTGAACCGCCAGTGTTTCACCTCCCATTTCCCCATGTTTACTCCCATTTCATTTAAGATGGTAAGT